CCCTCATATCAAGTATCAACATTTTAGCAAAATTGCTTGTTGAGGTTTGCAACAAAATGATCAATCTAATTTTCAATTGTATTGAACCAATGAAGCAAGTAGGTTACGAGTTAATGTCAAAAACTGTGAAGTTTATGAAGGTGTTCATCTTCATCCTATCTATAGTGTAGGGACAAAAAGGATAGGGTAGTAAGTGGGTAACTCATAAGTCATACACACTTTGATGGTCTCTGCTGCATCTTTACTTTTTTCCCCCCCTCTTACCTAACTTCTTTTTTTCTGACCCATATGTTGCTATGGTGCTTCTTAGACTAGAGAGCTCGTGAGGTTGTGACAGATAGACGACACATCAAAGTACTGTTGGTGGTGATCGTCGTGGAAATGAATTTGAACTCAAAGGTTGTCAAATTCGTGGGCTGATCCGGACTCGGTCGCGAGCTAGTGGGTCAAGGGTTAATGGGTCACTTGTTTTAGTCCGGTTTAGCCCGGAAATATGAAAAGAGTCATTATACTGTACTTATCCTGATAAATTATATCAAATATCATCTAACATATGAGTTATTAACATATAATATTCCACCAAAATAACATGTCGTACTTAGATCCAACATATAGTGAAAATTCACACACACTTATATAACATCAAAATTCAAATGTTTAACTTAGAATTCCAAAAATCGAGTTAGGCGAAAAGAAAAACCGGAAAATAGGCACATCTCGCAAAATAATAATAATAATAATAATAATAATAATAATAATAATAATAATAATAATGACCTGTTTTTCTTATCAAGCTAGCGTCAAAGTGGGTCGACCTGCGAGTTGACAACCTTGATTTGAACCATACTAGTATACCCTTAATTTTCATGGGTCCCTTATTTGACTATATGGTATTGGTACCTCATCACAAATATGTCGTCAGGTTGGCATCTCAACCCCGGCCGTTCATTCATCTACTATTTCTGGGTTCTAGAATGTGCCCCAAAAATGTATTGGTTCCCCATAATACTTTTGCCCCAACTGAATTTTATAATATGTGACTCCATTTTTGGGCGTTTCAAAGGCTTCCCTTTCTTTTGTTTTGAAGTCTCCCTTTCGTTCAAATCGTTGGCCCGGGTTTATGCATCAGGTACAGATGCTCACCCGAGCGGGTCGTTGTGGGAAACTTTTGGAGTAGACACAGTAGAGTAGACAAAGTGCTATTTCTTTTTTCCTTTTTCTCTTTCTGTGTCTTTGCTTTTATCTTTGCTCAGCGATGTTGTTTGTTTGACACTCAGAAATGGGAGGTTTGGTTTTTGGATATTTCTACACAGTTGGGCAAGTGAATGCCACGTACTTACTGCTCATTCAACTCCTCCACTCCATCAACTTATTTGCTCAGCTCTTTTTGCTCGAGGACTTTTGGTTCCTCTTTTCGTGATACGACTTTTTTGAACAATAGTGACACACACAAAAAAAAAAAACTTGACAAATTCATAAGAATTGGATAATTTGCTCTTAATTAGACAATTTTATTAATAATTATCTTAAAAAATATATATACTACATAGAAAGTAAACCCCAAAGTAGTTATGATGGTTTTAATTCTCATGTCTAACAATCGTAAGATGAGCCTTTCTACTATGCTTTAAAGTACAATTTTAAGTTGTATCACAACGTTAAAGGTACAAGTTAGAGTTGTACCATAAGGGAATTTGATCTTTATGTTGTGGTACAACTTCAACTCTTCAAGTTGTACCATAACTTAAATGTACAACTTTAGTTTGTACCATAAAGGGATTTTACAAAAGAGTATAGGCACAACCTAAAGTTGTACCATAAAGGCAAAAACTAAAACACCAATGCTTTAAAGCATTGTAAAATTCCTCTCGTAAGATACCTCTACTTTTAGAGAAATTTTACAATGCTTTATAATATCGGTGCTTTGAGCTAAAAAAACCCTTCATAGTAAAAACTGAACTTGTACCTTTTAACGTTATTGTACAAATTCAATTTGTACCTATATCCTTTAATACAAATTATTTTACGACACAAACTAGATTTTAACATTTATATTATGGTCAAAACTAAACTCGTACCGTAACATAAATATACAAACTAAACTTATACTTTTAACGTTATGATACAAATTCAATTTCTGCGTCGAAACAATTAACTTCTTATTTCCCCGCATGTTTTCTTTTATCGAGCTCTACGACACGATGAAAGTAAAACAAAGAGGGTGAGAGTGCAAGTAAGACTGTGAAAGCATGCAACTTCAGTAGTTATATTTGGTTTTACTGGACTCTTGCAATCAATGTCTGAAATCAAGGGAAACTTTGTCTGCTTTCTTCTCGACCTATCCATTTGACATCTAGGAACTAGGATTATCCAAAGCATACTTATTGATTGGTAATTATAAATCGAAAATATACTATTTTTATGTGCGAAGCCATTTCAAAGAACAAATACGTAAATATCTAATTATAACAACCAGCCAATAATATAGTGAACTTGAGAAGACGAAAGTGAGTAACTATGTGAGGTAAAAGATGGAAAAAAAAATCGTTTGTGGTGATCAAAGAAGGCAAAATCTGATCTCTACAACAACCCAATCCATTAATCCAAAGTATTAATAGCAAATCAAGATTGGATAGGGGAACCAATGAGTTAAGTAGCAAATCATAGTAATTAATCCACTACTAATTGTTTTCTAGCGGGCCTTAATTGGCGTACCATTCCAGACGTCAGCAATGACGCCAACTTACTACCACCCCTAAGATCGCTCCAGCTACCCTTATAACTTTATTTTAGTTTTTTTATTTATTTATAACCCAGGAACCTCAGCCTACGTGCCGTTTGAGCGACAGCGGGGCTTACTAAACCACTGGGGGTACCTGCATACTAACCGAGGCTTTCTGCTACCAGCATCGGGGAGGTTTCGCCTCCGATACCAAGGGTGCCGTCGGAAACGCTAAAGTGGCGCCACTGGGAATCAAACTCAGAACCTCCCACATCCAGAACTCAATTTGTCCAGTGATTTCACCACTAGACTATGTTACCTTTAGCACTTTATTTTATTTTAGTTAATCACCCCAAAAATCAAGGACAAAAAAAGTGTCCAAATTAAGGGGTTGGGGGTCCTTCCTCGCAATTGCTAGCTAGCTACTAAAGTGGGTAATCTTTTACAATTTAACCCATCTCGAGCCACGCATGGACGAGGACCCCTAGCTAGCTTTTTTGCGAGTGAGTGTGGGAGTCTTTTACTTTTCTTTTTTTCCCCCCAAAAAGATAAGAGATAAAGGGAAGTCTCTACTTAATTACAATTAAATTAAGTACTTCATTTAATTAATTAATTAATTAATTAGCAGATACCTTTTGGAAGGTGATGAGTTGGCGGCCTATGGTGGGCTTGCTTGCCTCGTGGGTAGTAGTATTTTTAATTAATTAATAGACGTACGGGATTAATTTTGGTTTAATTTTAAGTTAATTCATTTACTACCCCTCTTAATTAATTCACGGCAACCGGCTGTGTGGTTTAGAGGACGATTAGAGACGGTGCCACCCAATTGGAGAACATAAGTGACTTGCGTGTCCAAATCCAGAGGCAACCAACCAATATATATTTTACATAAATCAAGGTACGTGGGATCCCAATCCTTTAGCTTGCTAGCTTTAGCTACTTGGAAATTACCAGATTAATGTGCAGTGTAGTATACCAATGCCTGTCGGTTTGGTTCGGTTAATCGAACTGAAAGTATTATAAAATGAGAAGCGATTAAATGAACTAGGCTGTTTTCTCGGAATCAAAACCGAACACGTTGAGAATTTTTGATTTTTTCGGTTAAATTCATGCACCCCAGTCGAAACCGAGATTCCTTGCATCTCTCACCTAGTGTTTTCCGGTTTCGATTTCTTATTGATTTTTCATTTAAACATAAACTGATAATGCACAAACCAATTTGGAATGTAAAAAAGAAAACCAAAATCGAAAAATGTCATTATTATTTCAGTTTCAATTTAAACCAGAAAACCGAAACCGATATCCCAATCCTTGTAGACTGTAGTAACTAAGGGAGGGAGGAGGGAGGAGGAGGTAATGTGTATTCTTTTGAACCTCTCATCTGTAGTACTGTTATTGGTCTGATTAATTTGGATTAATAATTATGAACTAATGATTTTTTTTTACGAATATATAACTAATGATATTGTTGCTTTCTTTGATCATTAGCTAAGATAATTACTTGAAAGAGAAAGCCTAAGAACCTACAATCCGCTCCACATTTTCGTCCCCTATATGCCTATACACAATGTACTTTAACCAATTAGTCTCACTTTCTTAGGTTGGTACTATTCATCAAGTGATAATCAAATCCTTATACGATACAAGATTTTTATTTTTTCGTTAGGCCACGTTAACAAAATGCATTAAGATAGGCATCGTCTCTGTACATACACTATTTGAAACCACCATTTTTGATAATCTGAACCCCTCCATTCCTCTTCGTTGTTTAGTTTTCAATATAGCCATCATCTCAATTTCTCTGTATAGAAATCTAATTTCCTTTGTGTCTTAATTTAATTGATGGATGAAAGTGTAACCAGGAATCCCGATGCGCGCATATAGCTCTCTAAAGTTCCCCAAGTTTAAAAAAAAAAAAAACAGTTAATTGCTGGTTGGTTATTTATCAACCACCATTACCCGATCGAGTCAAAAAATAAAACAGTAAAATCTTGTATTATCAACAACTAAAAAACAAAGACCTTACTTTTGCAGTAGTCTATGAGATAATACATTTATCAATATCTTTTTTCCCTCCTTCCGACTTTAAAGAAGAAAAAAAAAAAAGGGAGAGAGAAAAAGGAATAACAACTCAGCAAGCAACCTGTTCATCCTATCATCAACAAAAACTCTAAAAAAGCCAAACCTCAGTTAGTCTCCTTCAACTCCTTCACTCTCACATAGATTATTAGCTCCCCCGACTGACTATATAAACCCCCAGTTTCCCAGAAACCTACCAAACAACACTCTCTCTTTAACTCTTCCACATCAAACAGATGGCTCCCATCTCACAACTCTCTCCCACCACCGCCGCCGTCTACTCACAGCTACTCGTTCCCCAACAAGGTGATGAACAAATACAGGAGAAAGTGAAACCGTGTCGACGAAGGAGGAAGAAGAACAAAGGAGGAGGAGGAGATGGGTCGTCGTCGTCGAGCGGGTGGGCGAAGAAGAGGAAGCTGAGCGAGGAGCAGGTGACGATGCTGGAGCTGAGCTTCGGCAACGAGCACAAGCTGGAGTCGGACCGCAAGGACAGGCTGGCGGCGGAGCTCGGGCTCGAACCTCGCCAGGTGGCGGTTTGGTTCCAGAACCGGCGCGCTCGCTGGAAGACCAAGAAGATGGAGGAGGAATACTCCAAGCTCAAAGCCGCTCACGATCATAACGTCCTTCACAAATGCCGCCTTGAGTCCCAGGTACGTACGTCAAATTATTCAATCTCCCATTCTCCTCTCTCTCTCTCTCTCTCTCTCTCTCTTTTTTTTTTTTTTAATTTGCCATTGTTTTCGGTTTAGTCTTAATCCAATTGCATCGAGTTATTATCAGTAAATAAAATAGATAAATCTTGAACAAGAGAAAACAAAAGTCTAGCTAGCTATGCAGTCTTTTTCCTCCTTTTGTTTCAAAACGTCTCCTGGTGATTATGTTATGACCCACCATTTTTTTTTTTCAAAACATGCATGAGCAACAGTTCTGGGCAGGCAGGCTCCATGTGTAAAAAGAAAAGAAAACGAAATGCAACATCTTGAATTGATTTGACGATCTCAATTTCAATTCCATTGGACCAAAAGAGTTATAAGGTGTATGAAAGCTATGTTCATTCAAAAGTAAATTAATGATTTAGATAATTGACCCCAAAAATTGTGTATAGGAAGAAGAAGAAGAAAAAAAGAAAAGCATGGTCTAATCTAATCTAGCCCCATTTTTTTCCTTTTTCGAAATTTCTGGACTTTTTCTGATTTTTGGGAAGTTTATTCCTTTACATAAAAAGTCCCGCACTGAGAACAGTGAAGTGATGAGGAAGACAAAAATATCAAAGGAAGAATTGGTGGTTCATATTGACAATGGCAGCAGCCCCTTCTTCTGCCATTTGAGCGCACACACAAACACAACATCAACATGGACTTATGTCACGTCCGTACAATTCATGTCTGTCAGTCTGTGGCTTATCTATCTAGCTTCTGTCGGTCGTTTTTTTTTTTTTTTACTTTTTAAGGTTACGGCCTATACACGAACACGACTTCATCTGATTTTTTTTTACTGTGCCCTTTTCACACTCACGTGCGTCTGTTTGTCACAGTTTTACCAACCAAAACGGACGGTTAAAAACTAAAAAGGAGTCCTTCCTTTTCACATGCTAATAAAATTGGGTAATAAATTCGCAGGTTTTGGAGCTGAAAGAGCAACTATCGGAAGCCGAGAAGGAGATCCAGCGGCTGTCGGCGGAGCGTGCTGACGTGGCGGCGGCGGCGGGCAGCAACAGCCCGAGTTCGTCCATGACGATGGAAGCCATGGAGTATCCGCCGCCGTTTCTCGGAGGAGGAGCTTTGTTTGGAGTTGTTGAGAGCTATGAAGATGAGTTCTACTATAACATGGCGCCGGAGGCTGCTTACGCCGTTAACGGGATGGAATGGATGTATTTGTGAAATATTATTTCTACTTACTCTCCAAAAATGTATTAATTAATCGAGGGATTAAGTATTAACGTAATTAACGTTCATTAGAAATTATTATCCAAGTATTTCTAGGATATATATATATATATATATATATATATATGTCATTGTAGATATATCTAGCTAGCTACCAACTAATTGTACTGATCATGATGCTGATGAGATGTTGATGATCTCTCTCTCTCATGTAAATATTAATTATCTCTCTCTCTTCGATGGATCGTACCCTTGTAGTAATTAACAAAGTAATTAGTGTTCTCTAATCTTAATTGTCCTTCTCCTCCTTTCTGGTTTGTACATGTGATTGCGTGGGGGGGAAATGGATTGTTAATTAGTAAATGATTAGTCAAATATTATTATCGTACCAATCAATGAGATGATTTTTGTTGCCTCGGTTCTGTGTCTAGATGATGTGGGAAGCTTATGGACGTCTCTATTCATATCTCACCTACTTTATCCTATTTGTTTTTTTTCTCTCTTTTTAAGTGAATATATATAAAAATTCATGTCACATGCATTTTGTGCCTACCAAAGCTACATGTCAAAAGGAAACATATTAACATAAAACCCCTTACTTGAGCTTAATGAAAGTTGAAAAGTCAAAATAAAATAGTTAGGGTTCGTTTGGCAAGCACGTTAACCATCAACTCATGTTTGTTCGTATACATGTTATTTAATATTATGTTTTTTTTTTGTTTATTTAGCACGAATATAACTTATTTCGCACCTCGTGTAATCTTACTATACGCGTCAACTTTCATCCTAATACGTGGAACCCAATGTCACAAATTTTACATGTCAAGCACTATATTATGAAATTACATGAATCTATACAATCTCACTTATGAGTTCTTAAAATTCATATAGCATTCTAGTTACATTATGTGTTTGTCAAACGAACCATTGACATACAAGTCCATAGGATAACTAATAACGAAATAATTATCTTACCTTATCAGTTCACAGTTAACTAAGAGAGTAATTATCTTCATTAAACCACATGGCTTATTCACCAAGAAAGAGACAATATTCAGGGTTTTATGCTCCTACTATTAGCGGACTCTCCGGACCCACTATTGAGAGTTTAGAGAGCAGAAAGACTAGGTAGTGTTTTTCAAAGAGCTGTATGATTTCACACAAGTCCAAAGTCATCAGACAGAGTAGTTGTTTTATTCTGTTATGCACAACACGAGACAAATGCTACGAAGTCATAAAGAGAACAACCTAGTCCGCGACATAATAAGATTCGAGAACTATATTTTTCTGTGTTCGGTTTCTAACAGTAACAACTCTGAATAGTAATATTATTGTGATGGTAATTAAATAGGTAGGTTACATGCGCGCGCGCATATATATATATATATATATATATATATATATATATATATATGTGTGGGGAGTTCTACGGTACCCAGGGTGAAATCCGAGGTATCGCATACCTTGAGTAAGAAAACGCTATCCAGAACTTGAATTGACTGATCTTTCGGACATGAAACTATACTCTAACCCTTAAAGATCAAAATCTAGGTCTCAATTCTCTAAATCTTATACCCCAAGATCAATTTAATTAGAAACAATAATCGACGGTTATGATTCGTCCAAATATAGGCCAAAAAATCAATGCACCGTCTCAGGGTTTATAGTTTTGATTTACATAATTAGGACCTAGGGTTCACTCAATAAGGATTAGGGTATAGTATCATGCTCAAAAATCTTGCTAATTCGAGGTCTAGATAGCGTTTTCATACTCAAGGTATGCGGTACCCTGGATTTCACCTGGGGTACCGTAGAAGGCACCATATATATATATATATATATATCATTGGATGAAAGAAGTGGTAGAGAATAGGGTGGCACCTATATTGGGAGCGACATAAAGATTGGGCTTATCCTGATGACCAGAGTTAAAAAGTAAATGAATGGTGGAGGGTATCAACCAGGTAGATATCATGCATGCATGTGGAGGGAGGGGAAAGGAAATCCCTTCTTTGCTTCTTTCCTACATTAAGATTAGATCTTAGATATACATTAGCAATTAACATTCTATCTCTAACTAATTACTTCACTTAATACCTAAACAAACAAAAAAATGACTTCATGACTTTAATTAATGTACTCATAGTAGGTGTGTTATTTGACGACCTTGGAGAACTTAATCAAGCTATACCATTGGATTTCTTTTCAACTCAGAATTACATAAACCTATAGGTTAGGTTTCATATTTCAGCTAGTTAAACCTAAATAAAAACTAATTTATCCAGTCGTGATAAATTCCGAATATATAAATTCAGTGAGGACAGTAGTGACTGCTAATATTTTTTGTAGTTAACTATCAATTAAGTCGAAAACAAATCTCGATTAACACAAACTGTATCGGATAAGGCAAGATATGGGTTGCTTGAGTTGGGATCAGTTTTGACAAGTGTGCGAAAGATGCTTGCCAACGACAACATGTGTCTATGATGACATAAAGGATACCCTTTTTTTATGTATGATGAGTTGAGTTGTCTTGAATTTATTGGACAAATCTGCTTAATTCTGCCGAACCAAACCTCCAACTTTCGAGCCCCAAACAGAATTGAAGTGAAACAAGGTTCAATGTTCTGTGTCACGAAAATGGAAACAAATAAAAGGCAGATCGGATTCACGGACGTGTGTTGTTGCTCGTCCCATGAAATTGGGGAGGGAAAAGCGTCGAAAGCAGAAATGGATAGGGTAAGATAGTGAAAGTGATTTGTCGTCGTTGCTGCAGAGAGAAAAGATTAGGAAGATGAAAGAAGATAGAATCTTCGGGGGGAAATTCTTTGCAAGTTTCACCAGAATGTATGTGGTAGACAGATCAACAGCAAACGGTAGATAATGTATACACCTTTAAAAGAAAGCCAAATGATGCCATATGACAAGTTTACAAATTATGTTTTCATGTGTAGGGATCGATGGACAATTAGGTGGATGGGGTGGGGTATTTCGGTATCTTTATTCATTGCATGCTAAACGTAGATCATGTTTGATATATATTCATGTGGATTCCATTCGAGTCAGATAATTTTCATAGAAGATATAAAAATAAAAATTACAAGATAACAAAGAGAATATTTTCTAAATAAAATGTGAAAAGATTGACTCTATCAGTAGAATAAAATAAAACTGAAGACTTACACATGTGAACCGTGAAGTTTCAAAGGCAACACACCTTCTTTTGACCACGGGGCGCTTCCTCTATCCACTCTCATACCCTAGCCAAGGATTAATTGACGTGGAGGGTCGGGTTTTTTAGTTTTTCGGATTAAATTTGGGTGATTAGACTTTTCTGTTAGCCACTTCACCAAAAAACTAACTACGACTAACGGAAGGTAACAAAGAGTTACTAAACTTGAAATACTAAACTAATTGTAGTGACGAATAATGAAATTAAATACTTATAGTGACCAAACGCAAAAAAATTTAGTAATCTAAGTGACCGACCTTGCAATTTACCCTAAAAAAGTGGACAAATTAAGCGAAAAAGAAAAGAAAAGAGAGAGCCAGAAAGAAAGAGAGAGAAAAAAGAAACAACCAACATCATATGTGTGTAGATGGAATCGAGCGCGAGATTCCTCTCGTTCTTTTCTACCGAAATGCCTGCAAAACAGTTTTTCTCCAAGAACCCTAATTTCGATTTGAGAGACAGAGACAAGATGAAAATAAGAGAATTGAAAATGAAAGTGAAATTGAGTTCTTCTTTCAGACTATTGAAAGCTTTGGGCCACAGTTTTGCAATTCCAATCTGGTTATGATCTGGGCCTTGAGTTCGCTAAATATGTTGCAAGCCCAAGATCCTTCTGATGGTTGTTGAGTCGCACTGAGCTTGGGTCAAACGATGTCGTCGTGTCTTGATCGTCTTCTTCTCCCAGTTCCCCAGTTCGCCAAGTTACCCTGCACTTATCAAAGCAGAAGACAGTTTGGCAGAGAGATTCACAAAGTGAGAAGACAAGAGCCGACACGATATTTTTACGTGGTTTCCGGTAGGCAATTGCACTACCTACTACTCCACGGTCGAATTCCCACTGATGTGTGGTATTCGACGTTTCACTATGAGTATGAAAGTTTCAGCTCTCGACACAGGTTCTCGAACTATCAGTTGAGCGATCCAATCCAGGACCTACGACTACTACCCACACAATCTACCCCAGCTATCCAGCTACTGCATTCTCCAACGCTCACTCCCTGAACTGGTTCTCCCTGAATCACAGTTTAGAGATTCTTTTCAACTCAATACTACAAGCAGTTTTGTTAGCTAGAAAACGAGTATTGATGCCATGTCGAAAAGTGCCTTCTCTTCAGCTGGGTACTGCTTCAAATACTTGCTGGTAGATAACAGTTGATTGTAAAACAAGGAAACTTCATAGTATTGGAGGGGACTTCCAATTTCTTCGTGTAGTGTAGCCGTTGGCTTTTACTGCAGAATCATTCTGATCTTGTTTTGCTTGACCTTCCAAATCTGTGAAACTTTCCAAATCAATGAGTCGATCTTTCCAGATCAATGAGTCGATCTTTCTTGCCATATTTCTTCAAATTTTAGGGACTTATTTGTAAAAAAAATAAAATTTAGGTACTAAAATGTAAGAATAAATAAATTTGGGTACCAAATTGTAATTTTTAGAAAAGTAGTCTATTTATTAGGGTCGACCCACTGACCGACCCTTCCTGAACCGCCCTGACCCTAAAGGGTCAGACAGGGTCATGAAAGAAACAGGGTCGGGGCGGGTCAGTTATACATCTTGACCCTTCAGGGGCGGGTCAGACAGGGTCAGGGGCGGGTCGGGCCAATTGTCAGCCCTAGCGGCAACCAATTCGCTAAAATACTTAAAATCATAATACTTAATGGAATACGTAAGGCGTAGAATTTACCCCCTTTACACTCACATCGTTTTGTAGATGAAGATCGTGATCCATAAACTCCAATGGATTTGCTATTTGTCCTCTGCTAGGCGCCATTGCCTTAACCTCGTTGTGTCTAATCATAAAGCTCCTCCACAATGTACCCCATAGTTAGTAACTCGGCTACCATCCATGCATCAATTCCCCTGCCAACTAGGGCCACCTTGCAACCCACATGTCATCATCGCTTGTGGTAATCCTTTTCGCTTCGCGGATTTTATTTCCTTTAACTTATACGACATGACCTAAAATCCTTCTCTCCATTCCCTGCAACTTCAATGTTGTTGTGGCTTCTTAACCCCTCACATTACCTCGGCTGCACCTTGTACATATATAGGAACGATAACTATCCATTGTTCGGTACATGAGAAGTTAATGCCCCTCTCCAACCCCAAGGTCACTGATGGCGGTTTATCTTCCATCTAGTCAGATGGTAAAACTCTTTTAACGTAACTCTCGTCTAGGGTTGACCTCATAGGTCACCTAGGTCCTTGTATCTCCTAACTTTGCATCCCTTACTTTCCTCCTTGATGCCTCGTCTTATCCTTTAACCATAAACTGAGTGGTCATCTCCTCGTTACTTCTTGCTTAACTCTGAAACCTCATACTACTGCTTTTACTTCCTGTATGCATTAAAGGCATCCTTTGCATTTCTCTCTAGCTTGCGATCAACCTTATTAATTATTTCAAGGATCATGATATTCCCAATGGCTTACTTGCTCACTCCTGACGCCTAACTTAGCAATTCCTTATAGCTGCTTGAATTTGATGTTCTCGTAATATCCATTATGCCACTCTTAGACCCTAGCTGAAACTCCTCGTACGGTTTCCCCGTCCAATAAAGTTTTACCCGAGAGATTGACACCTTTCACTAACATAGGCGATCTTGGTTTCAGTTTGGGGTATCCTAGCAGGTTCCCTAAACTCATATCCCTCTTACTTATTTACTCATGACTCTTCTTCTTGATGTTCCTTGCTAGTTCTAGATGTCGCTTGTTCTCGATGTAGTCCTCTAGGTCCCTATTTTCTCTTCTCACTCATGTACCATGATAGATAAGGTTCTCCCTTCGACTATTCCTGACAATCATGATTCCACCTTAAAAATTGACTGAAATATCTTTATGGACTTCCTATGGATCGGTTGTTCTCTACTTGGTGGTCAACCTAATGCTTTCTTGTTGTCTGTTGTACTCCCGCTTCCGCCTGTCTTAACTATCTTCCTTGACGCATACATCGCCAGGTTGATGCCAACCATTTTTTTCTATAACTTCCCACGATGTTCTTCTTGCTTTTTTCCTTTCACTACCACCAAACTACAACTCTCCTGTTGTTGCTTGTACTATATTTGGTCACCAACCTCTGTTGAGTATCTTCTCGTTGTTGTTTTAGGTCACAACTTCCAATGGTGGCTTGCCCTTGGTAACCTTTAACATAACTCATTACATGTCTCTTTTGTTGATCGATCTTGTACATAAACTTAGTCTCTTAGTTAGGATTCTTAATGGCTTAACTAAGAGTGCATGTTTCATCCTTAACTAGTTGTCTCCTCTGGAGCCCTCCTACCATGCCGCGCCCACTCAGAGTGGGGCACCTTGGATAAGGTAACTTCTCTTTTTCCTCCTTCTCGGTAATGCTTTCCCTCATCATATCTCTTTATGCAGCTTCTTGACCTCGAGTCACCTGAGACTTAACCCATTGACTTCTTGAAATCTCGTCAAACTCCCTCTGGCCTTTTTGCTCTTCCTTGGTATTGTTCGCAAACTCTCTTCATTACGACCGTTTAGACTCTTCCTTGAATTCTCCAACTTTCATTAGAACTTCTAATGAACGTTGTACTTGCTTGTCTATACTCGGTTGATTGAATGATTTACTCTTACGGCTGGTTCCGAGACTCCCGCTCTTGGCCCTCTAGTTCCCACTTTAGACTTTCCCAATGGATTCCTTGAAATTCCACGGTTTTCTGATTCTCCTTGATCATGGTGATTTGCAGGGTCTCTCAACCCCTTCTCATACCTTGTCCTCTAGCTTGCGCTTGACAGGTGTATAGCATGCCTGATCTAACCTCAACCTCTGCATCATTTATCTCGTTGCTTGTCTTGTTCCTTGTAAAGGAATCAGCCTAACTCCCCAGGGTCATGTACCCTCTTCTCTAGTGAGGTAGTTTGTCTATAAGGGTTCCTTTATTGTCATATGTAGATGACCATGCCTCCTCTCCGCCCCGACTTAATGACTTTTTGACCTCCTTTTGGACTCCTTATAACCCCCGTATTTCCTCCTTTGCTTCATTCAGACGACCCTATCGTTGCATAAGGTTTAACTTTCCCCTACTCCTTATCACCGCGTTGTAATAACATCGGCCACTAAAACCAATCGAGTGGTGCCTCTTCATTTTCTGCTTCGTTTCCTCCTTGCCGCTTATGGTCAAGTATCCTCAAATCCTCATCGTTGCTAATGACGCCCTATACTTCTCGTTGTAAGGTATTAACCTCATTGAACCTAGATCTTGGTCCAATGATGACCACGTAGGTCACCAAGGACCTCCTACCTTCCAAAATCTGCCTCATGTCTGGAGATTCGACTTGAATAGGCCACGTTTCTTGCCTTCTTCCTTTCACACTGATGATCACCATCCGCCTTAATCTCTTAGTTTATGTACCAAAACATGCTAGCTAAGTCGCGTCCTAACTTCATCTTAAACCAATAGCACCCTCGTGTTACCATCTCTTCTTAGCTTGATAGATCCTCCACTTGTTGCCTAGTTGTAAAATCCTCGAGGTATTCCCTTACAATTTGCACCTCTTCTTCTAGAACTATATTTATTTACCTTTATACGATTAGAGTAAACTGGAGATTCTAGATACTCTTAAAAGAAGGTCCTTGACTCATTTTCCTTTCCTTTAAAACAAAACCTTTAAAAACTGAGACCGACATTCCAGTATTCCTTGGAAACCAAGGAACAGAGGGAACCAGGCTCTGATACCAAAATGTAACACCCTAACCCGGCCGGGTACTACTTTTACTCAAATTCCCTTGACAAATAAGATACTCAAATCTTAAATTACAGCGGGAAAAATTTTCATAAATAAAATACTGAAAACACACTTGTAGTTCAAAGCAAAGCCCTAACATGTGGGCCCTACTCATAATCATAAAAATGCAAATAACTAGGTAGTCTCTGTCGTTGCTGCAACTGAAAATCTTAACTAGGCATCCTCCGTGACGCTTGCACTGCCCACCTCAAGCTGGCTACCCTCGAACTCCTCCTCTCTAACTGCTCCTCTAGCTAGCTGCTACTGATCTGGTTCTCGCTCATTCCCTTACTAAGGCCTGGTGAGTGAGTTGGGGTCAGTCTACGCCCTTACGTTTTAAAATTTCTACTGCTTGGTACTTTACTTAAAACACTTAAATTTGTGGAAGTTGTTTGTACTTCCACTCTTAAAACTACATGGGAGTTACTGTTACTCTCCATTCTTAAAGCTCAAATCTCGACTTTAATACTTGACTGACACGGGGATCCCTCACTAGCTAGTCCGGTTGCTAACTCATACGTATGAGAAGCCATCAAGGCTTTCCTTAAACTTAAACTTAGTTAGGGGAGTCGTAACGATTCATCCCCCTAACATCTTAAGCTTATCGTGGTGGCTCTTCACCAAGATTCTCAAGAGCATAACTACTGCTCATCTTAAAAGTCTCAAGAGCATAACTGATGCTCTGTCTCAAAGATCTCAAGAGCATAACTGCTGCTCTATCTGAAAATCTCAAATGGCAACGGACTGGCGCTAGTGACTAAAAACACTTAAAAAACGACTTCACCTTCTTGAAGGTGAGTTACTTCTAAAAAAGAACTTGTTTCTTAAACTTTAACAATAACTCAAGCATAACGCTTTAAGGTAAATAGCACAAAATCACCTCATATCACCTCAAATAGCACAAAATCACCTCAAATCATAGCTCAAACAAAGCACAAATACTCAATCATAAACATAACCAAGCAACCGTAACCAATTCGCTAAAATACTTAAAATCATAATACTTAAAGAAATACGTAAGGCGTAGAATTTACCCCCTTTACACTCACATCGTTTTATAGATGAAGATCGTGATCCACAAACTTCGATGGATTTGCTATTTGTCCTCTGCTAGGAGCCATTGCCTTAACCTCGTTGTGTCCAATCATAAAGCTCCTCCACAATGTACCCCATAGTTAGTAACTCGGCTACCATCCATGCATCAATTCCCCTGTCAACTAGGGCCACCTTGCAACCCACGTGTTAATCTTCACAATCCCTCAAATAACCTTCTCCCTGCGGAATGATGTTGCGGCCTTTGGATTTATTAAAACCTACAACATCGTGTCATCATAATTTCAGAAAGCAGCGCCATCGATGAAATACAAGGCTGCTTTACTCTGTCTCCTCCCTACTCGCTTCTTTCTCTCCTGACAGCCGGCGATCTGTGATGCGACGGATTATGTGCACTGGGAGAAGATGATTACCCGAAGAAAAATAGAGGGCAACTGCTCCTCGTCTCCTCTCCGTTCGCGACGACGATGGGGGCCAGGGAACTAATTGATGGGGAAAAGTTGGGGTCGGGGAAAAACTATTGGCGGGGGGAGGGTTTAGTATCTGGGGAAAGGGTTTCATGCGAAGGCTGCTTACGGGTGGGGAAGAAAGAATTAAAGGAGGGTTTTAATTAGGTTGGGTGTTGCCGAGTGGAATGTGAGGTTAGGGTTGGGGTTTAACTCATCCGGGGTTATTTCGAAAATTTCCTGATTATGGGTCAGGTGAGTTTAATCTGAAAACTCAGTTAAAACGTCCATAACTTCCTCATTTTATTTCGAAACTCAACACCGTTATGATTGCGAGTTGTCATTTTTAGTTCTCATCGATAATACTGTGGAATTTGACATATATTCTCCCAAGGGTATAATAGTCATTTTGACTTTTGGCAAAATCGGGGTGTAACATATTTACAGACTTCCAATGAGTTGTTTATATTCAGTTTGGGTCAATTTAACCAGACCAGATCGTATAGCCACCCCTAGATGTGGGCTTCAGTCCGTCAAAGCGGGTCCTAATGTCAAAACGTGGCCGAAAGATGGACCATTGATGTGGGTTTGAATGGGTCGTGTTGAAGGTAGCCCCATCGGAGATTGGCCATGTTGGAGGTTAGAACCTCCGAAGTTAGGTGGGCTCGCGTTACGAATTAGGTTGCATGATGGAAAACGATATTTGTTATGTGGGCCGTGTGTGTCCATGCATCGAGAGATGGGTCATGTTGGAGGTTGAACGCTAAGAGATGGACCATTGATGTGGATCTGAATGGTCACATTGAAGGTGAGTTGCATCGGATATGGGCCGGGTGTGTCCATGCATCGAGAGATTGGTCGGGTGCGAAGGTAACTGATGAGTTGAAAGCGTGAGGCGGGCAAACAACTTTGTTGGGCCGTCGGAGGCTGGATGGGCCACTGGAGGGGGTTTTCGGTGCTGAACGAGAAGCAAACCGGGTCGCAGAGCTGCGCCTTCTCGGACATGAATTGGATAAATGTTGAAGCGGTTGGATCTTGAAGCCATATAAAAATAAAGTGGTTGTCATTGTAACACTAATTAAACTGATATCTTATTGGTAGGAGTTATTATTGTTGGCTGTCGAGAGGACGTGTTTTCAAAGCCCCCGAAGGAGTTTTAGTTCCTTGGTGTGCCTTAATATGTGCTTGGAGGCGGAAGGTGTGGGCTTTGCGGTTGGAGACGAGATGTTGGCAGTGTCGGGCCGCATGGAGGCGGCCCATGCGAAGCTGGGCGAGTTTGCATGAGGATGGCTTGCATTTGTCATGGTTTTGGAGTGCGATGTGGGCAGATGGTGAGCAGGTTGGACCCTCTGTGAGCCCAATGAGAAGATGGTGGGCCCATTGGTCTGGGCTGGCTTTGATAAAGGTGACTCGTATTGGAGAAGAAGACGTTTTGCTGTTTTGGTGCCTAGCCCTCCTTCTAAAGCTTCTTCTTCCATTTTCTTTTTAATTATTGCAACTTCTTCTTCCAAAATCATTGTTGAGGCATGTGTCCTTTGCTCCTTTCAGTTCAGCCGCTTTTCCTTTTATTTCTTCACAATACGCTCTTTATATGGCTCTTGATGCGGTCGACTGATTTTTAATTTACAGAATAAGGCTTCTCTCCAGCCTGTTTTCTTTTCTCTTAGGTGCTGGCAATATTGCGATTATGCTTAAAGATGAGCGTCCTTATTCTCGGGTGTTCTTCTCCAACTCATGCTTATGAGCATCTTTCTTCTTGGGTGTTCCTCATCTGGCAACTCGGACGGTATGATGGAATGGTTTGGTAGACCATAGGGGATCTGGCCGCTTTCTTCCTCTTCTTTCTTTCATTTTCTATGTTCTTTGTGCTTTTTTTTGGGGATTCCAACAGTTTGGCGCCCACCGTGGGGCTTTGATTATGATATTCCTTATGTTTGATTTCTGAAAGAGGGAAGAAATCAGTGTTTCCTGCACCAACGACAAGCCACAACAGCCATGTAAGCTTCTTCAAAAGTAAAAGAGGAAAAGTCTGATTCCGGCGACTTTGTTCATCGCCAACAAGGGACGGAAAGACCAACAAACTGTTTGACCCGGGAAATTCCCAAATGATAACATAGTAATTGTGGGGCTTTGATCTAGACTCCCTCGTTCGTTCTCTTCATGAGGTGAGCAATCTGTGAGGAGGGGGGCGACTGATGACTCGATATTTGCACATGTTTTCCCCTCTGCTTCTTGATCTTTTAAGCTTGCATTATCGCTTCTTTGGCCTATTTTACGCTAGGTTGTGTTACTTTGTCACATTTCAGGTCCTAGCACATAAAGTGAAGTATAGGCGCAATTTTCAAGTCAAACGGAGATCAATTGGCAACTCGGGGGACAAAACTCGGGCATGACCTGAAGAAGAATGGATTTATACCTCACTTTGTGACCATAGAATCATGTAAACTTTTCATGAGAAGAAAGAGGACGAGACTACAAGCGTATGGGATCCAACGACACCTGATTTGGAGTCCGAACGAGGGAGAAACGAAAAATTGAAGATAGGGGACTCGGAACTGCAAAATACCCGACCGGGTATTTTGACCATCTGATAGGATATTTTGGCAGCATCAGAAGCCCCCCCCCCCCCCCCCAGTCATGAACCAAAAGTTTCCGACCGGGTATTTTCCCTTTTGCCCATAAAAGTGACCCGGAGCATTTTGTTGACACCCGACCGGGTATTTGGACCGGGTTTCGCGAACGGAGTCTGTTAAAAGCCTTTTTGTGCTTTTTTAGAGGGGGAGAGCTGGGTTTTGGTTCCCAAACAACCAAGGAACGAACCAAAACGAGAGAGGGCGATTTGAGGTCAATCTTGGAGTGGAATTGGGGGATTTCTTCGCCTTGGAAGCTCGAGGAACAAGCTCGGACTTGAAGACTGATCATCTAAAGATTCTTACTGCAGTCTTTCTCTTCTCTATGGAGTAACTTCCCTTCACATAGGTTTTGAGGAACCCTAGCCATGTTTGTTTGATTGGATGATTGTATGAGTACTCTTACTTGATAGTCTTGAGTTCATATTCAATCTATGCATGTTTTCATGATTCAATTATGCTTTAGTCAAGATTATTGATTCTACTTTGATACTATGAGAGAAAATACCTGATTAGGTCAATAGAGCACCATAGATTGATAGTATTGGATCGATTGCTTTAGTCGATGGTTGATTTAATGCTTTGTGTCGATTGAGAACCTCATTCGATAGAGGGAATCTAGTTCAGAATGCCTTGATCGGTTGTTCTAGAGAAGGATACGTCTCTCTAGGCAATTGACTCAAGAGGGTCTTGTTCCTTTAGTCGAGACTCAAGGTCTAGTTATGGATTTTCCGCATTGTGAATGAGAGTGAAACATGTTAGAGATCATCAATCACTAATCGGGCTAGTGGCTAGGGGGAATCATACCTAAGTGAGTTCCCAACCTGTAATTAGATTAACTTTAACTATAGTTTGATAGAGTAGTTTTAGTTGTTCTATCTTAATCTAGTTTGCTAGATAATGAACTGAAGCTGAGTAATAGTAACTCTAGAGACCTGTGGATTCTATATTTATTACTTGAGCCACTATATTGCAGTCTCTTTCATTGGCTACACTTGGCCTTTGTTAGGAGTTGTGTCATAGCGAGTCAGCGACCCCCGGGGATCTATGCTCCGACGCTCAAGTTAGTCCGATATAGAGAAGATATAAGGTGTGTAGAGAGATAGAGTAGAGTGAGAGACCTTGAGGGAAAGTGGGAAAGGGAAAAGAGAATCCTAGGCTTTGAGGGTTTGGCCTTCAGTCTAGGATGCCTTGTGGTGGGATTAGAGCCATTAATAGTCGTTTGTTGTATTAGACGGGTTAATACCACACCCAACAAAAAACAATTTAACATCTAACTGGTAAACAGTCAAAGCCATATTGTGAAACAAGGGCCTTGAAGGTTCTGATGGTGTCGCATCTTGCCACAGTGCAAACACTGTATCATAATCCACTCCATGTCTCTAAGCATAGCCCTTTGCAACCAGTCTGGTTTTGAACTTATTGATGGAGCCATCCTCCTTCAACTTATTTCTGTACACCCATTTAACTCCAATAGGAGTTACTCCTGCTGGCCTGTCAACTAGAATCCATGTGAGATTCTTCTTGATAGCATTAATCTCCATCTTCATAGCCTTCCTCCATCTTTCTTCACCCACAGCTTCTTGAAATGAGGTTGGATCACCACTGACAGCAGCTAGAGCCCACAAGTCAGTGTCAACAAATCTCAAGGCATGCATTCATTGCCAGTCAAAACCATCAAAGTGACTTGAAAACTTGCGATTTCTAGGCCTTAGTTCACTGTTGATTGGGAGCCCTAAAGCATCAGTCATCTCCTCCAGAACTCGTGGGATTCTGATTTTCTTCAGTCTCCTCTTCGGTAGTGCTCTTAGTCTCTTCTCTAGTACCATCTTGTTCATTATTCTCATATTCTTCTTCCTCTTTTGAGTCATAATAGACTTCTTCTCCTCCTTCCCATACTAGTTTGGTCATGACTGGTTCTGTTTCAGACTACCAAATCCAGGCTTCCTTCTCATTGAAGATTGCATCAATGCTAACGATGATCTTCTTTGTTTCAGGATTGAAGAGCTTGTAGGATTTGGACCCCTTAGACAATCCTAGAAATTTGCACTTGACACTCTTGTCATCAAGTTTCTTTCTTAAACTGTCATGAACAATGAGCATAGGCAACACAGCCAAATACTTTGAATTGGTTCATTGAGGGGGGTTTTCCATTCCATCTTTCTTGTGGTGTCTTGCCATCTTTGGCTATAGTTGGACTCCTATTGAGGATATGTGTAGCCCAATCTACAGCCTCGGGGTAGAAAGTTGGTGGAACCTTGGTATCCTCCAGTGAACACCTAACCATGTTCATGATAGTTTTGTTCTTCCTCTTAGCAATACCATTTTGTTGAGGGGTAAGAGCAGTTGTCAATTGCCTCCTGATGCCTGCTTCTTCACATACATCTCGAAACTCATGCAATAGAAACTCTCCACCCTTATCAGTTCTAAGACATGCAATGATTCTTCCAGTTTCATTCTCTACTTGTGCTGTAAATTGTTTGAACTAAGTTAAAGATTCTGACTTTGTAGACAGAAAATAAACCCACAGCTTCCTGCTAAAATCATCAGTAAGGGTCATGATGTGAATTTTTTCTCCATTGGAGGTAGGAGTAATAGGGCCACACAGATCATCATATAGGAGTTGGAGTGGTTTGATGGCTCTCCATGCTCCTTTCTTTGGAAACTTTGTTCTCCATTGCTTGCCAATCATGCAGGTTCCACAGACTTCAAGTTCACGAGTCAGCTTTGGAAGCTCCTGCACCAGCTTTTGTTGTTGTAATGAAGCAAACTAGCTTTGCTCAGATGACCAAATCTTCTATGCCATAAGTTCAGTGTGTCATGATTTGCAGAATCAGACTGCAGGCAGTGGTTACAAGCTTTAGTGTGATGCTTGGCTTGCAGAAAAAACATCATGTTGGATTTCATGGATGTTTGAAGCAGCAAACCATGCTTCTCATGGTAGATCCTGCAGCTTCATTATTGATTGTAAATGTGAGATTCTCCTTCTGCATTTATCTTAGGAGATTTGATTTCAAACTAGGAAAATAGAACACATTCTAAAAGACAAGAGGAACTTTATCGACAGTCATCTTGATAAATCCTTTCCTTGAACTTCCAGTGTGCTTCCATTTCCCAGTTTGACATCCCTTTTGAAACCAGTGTCGAGCTTAATGAACCAGCTCTTATCACCACATATGTGGTTGTTGCAGCTAGGGGTGCGAAACGGTGCGGTCCGGTCCAGACCAGACCATAGATACGGTCTGTGGTCCAGACCGAGAGGTTGGAACACAGACCATGGACCAGACCATATACTATACGGTCCAGACCAGACCACACATGTGCGGTGCGGTCCGGTATGGTCTGGACCAGACAGACCATGTTCAAAAAAATTAACTCTTGTTTGCCCTCCAACCCCTCACCGGTATCTATAAAAAAAATCTAGTGACCAATATGCTAGTGAAACAAAAAAATTGTGATCGTATTAAATGAGAAGAAATATGAGGATAGAAGTGGGGGTTTTCAATTTTCAAATAGCCTTATTTCCCTATTCCTCTTTGTGCTACCGCTTCTCTCCTCTCTCGAGTGATCCGAAGGTTCTCCCAGTTGATAACCTTTTTGATGACGTCGAGGTAATTTCGAACCACTAAGATGGTCGCATATCTCTCAATAATTTTCCTTATCTCATCAAGGTGAACGAATTTTTTTGTAGTGTTTAATTTTTATCGACTCCATAGTCTAGACATTATCTGTGAATATTATTTATGAGTCTTTCTAATTTTTGTGTGGTACTTTGATAAGGAGATAACATATAAGCGATCATTTTGCAATTTGTTGGCTCTCAACTAGATGAAGAATCAACTAACTTTGTTCTTCAAATACACATATGGAGGTTCAATTTAGTGTTATTTTTGTCCAAGGTAGTAGGTAGTGTGTCGCGGTCTATTACGGTTTACTGCGGTAGACCGCGGTCCAGACCATTTCAGACCACACACTAAAGGAGGAGACCGCAAACCAGACCAGACCATAGTTCTGGTCTCACGGTCCAGACCAAACCATACGATACGGTCTAGACCGCGGTTTCCCATACGGTTTGGTTTGGATTCCCAGCCCTAGTTGCAGCCACTATCAAGAAACCACCAACCACCATTTTTCTTTATGGTTTCTTCATTGGGAACCTTCTCATCTAAGTATGCCATCAAAAGAACATCATCTTTGATATTAGTAGGGCCCCAACTCGAGTAGTGAGTTTGAGATTTCCACTCAGGGTATTCTCGACTGAAGTGTCCCATCTTGTGACACTTAAAGCACTAGTCCTTATCTCTATTCCAGGTTCTTCCTCTTCCTCTACCTCCTTTGCCTTGATATCCAGTTCTGCCTCGTCTTCCTTTTCCACCACTAAACACTTGCAGGGTGAAGACTTTGCAAACTTCTACTTGTGAACAAGCAAGGAGCTTTGCAAGGAACCCACAAACATATCAGTAGTGTCCTTGGATTATTCAATTAAACAAACATTGTAATTAAATTTTTTAGTAAGATTCAATAAACAATGTAATTTAATTTCTTAGTAAGAGTCCTGAGTACCTTCTCAACGATCTTAGTGCCTGTCATGTCTTCTCCACGGTTTCTCATCGAGTTTGCAATGACCATTACTCTACCAAAGTAGTTGGTCAATGTCTCTCTTTCTTTCATCTGCAGCAGCTCAAAGTTCCTCCTGAGTCCTTGTAGATTTGCCTTCTGAACACACTCCTTTCCTTGATAACGAGTCCTCATGAATCCCACAACTGCTTGGAGGTTGCCTTCTGAGTGAAAGTCTTAGAGAATTCTTTTGTCAATAAAACTAAAGAGATAGTTCTTAGTATTCAATTCCTTCAGACGGGCTGCCTCCAGTGTCTTTGTCTCAGCTTCAGTCAGCTCAGATCTCTCATCAGCTTCCTTGAACCCAATTTCCACCATGATCCACAGTTCCTTGGATTTGAGCAGATTTTCCATCAACATGCTCCAGTGATCGTAATCCTCTCCGAACTTGGGAATTCCCACTTGAGCAAAATTGTTGTCACCACTCATCTTCTGCTCCCCTTTTAATTCTCTCACCAATGAACAAGATCCTCACCTTCACTCGTGTTTCCAACAACCCTGGATCTTGCACTATTTCACACAGCTCACACACTTTTGATTGAAAAAACTCTCTAATTACAGCTTGCGGATGCTCTAATACCACAATGAAAGCAAATTGAATGCAAACTGACAACCTTTATTGACTTAGAATAGCAATTTAAATACAAGATTGAGCAGCTCCAAACTCGTAGGCTTTCAACAAACTTGGATCATGAATCCATGAAGTTCAAATACCACGATTAACCACTACTGACTCCCATTACAATTGGAAACAAGCTAACAATTCTAACAAGATTCCTAACTCGATGCAAGGACTCAACTGACTATGAATTCAAACAAAGTGACTAAACCGTAATTTATTTCAATGGCTACTTCAGCAGCTTCAACAAGCCAATCTGGGTTCCTGGCTAGTCTGGTGGGTCAAGGTTCCTCACTACTTCACTTTCACTTGTCCCCTTGTTCTCTCATTAACGAAAGTCTCCTTTCTTCGCTTCCTTAATCGCTTACAACACAACTAAAATCAACGAATCCACTTATTTTGTGTAGACCATCAATGCGGACTCGAGCGCTCCAACAAGTTGCATGCGGTACATCAGAAGAGGAGCGCTCCACGTTATTTTATTTTATTTTTTATTTAATTTTGAATTAAAAATATGAGGTGTCAATGGCATGGCATCTACGTGGTTGTCACGTTTTTGTCACGTCAACAAAAGTTAATGTCAAGTTGACCACCGTCTGGTCAACCGTTCTCTATAACAGTCAATGAAATTGTCATAAATGACACACAAGTATAATAATTAATAGGTTGACATACAAGTGACATTTTTCTATAGTACGGGTTTTCTGGTGGTTATATTAACTCTAAAACTATTTGAAATACAATGTCGTAAGAATTCAAAATCTATAAATTGATGTCAGTTAGTCCCTCTTTGCGCAGAAGACGGTTGCACAACGAATTATTAGTTTATTTAATAGACCATTCGCTTATTTGAATACTAATTTAAGTAGACTCCTTATTAAGGATGACAATGGGGCGGGTTTGTCAAAACTATCCTCATTCCCAATTTCAAATATCCAAAACTACCAATGCGAGAGAAGGTTTTGCAAACCCACCCCCTTACCCGTGTGGGTTTCGGGTACCCATGGGTAATACCCGCCCCTTACATCCAACATTATGATACCTAAAATTCTATAGTAAATTTTCAATTATAGCATTAAACGAACCTACTATATCACGAAGCCGACAAAGAGAATACCATTCTTAATACGGTTCAAAGCAAGCATTTTATCCTAAAGCATCCATTAATCCATAAGATAGAGTACTATTAAATCCAAATCATTATTTTATGACGCTGATATATCCACTAAGTAATAACTAACTAACATAATCTTGTTAACACGAAGGGAAAAAGTGAAAGAGTGAAGGCAAAGTTGAGAAAAATGAATTAGGTTTTGATTTGGGTTACCACTCAATTGCATTTACACTATTTATTTTCTTGATTTACCCTCACTATTATTGATAGGTTACATTTTGATCCATGTATTTTTGTATATGTGAAGAAATGCTTTTGGTGGGGCGGGTATGGGTATGAGGCGGGGGAGGCTAAAACCATACCTGCCTCATACCCATCAAATGTGTTGCGGGTTTGACCAATACGCGCCCCATACACGGTCAATGCGGGAATTACCCACGTTGACTGGGTCGGGGTAAATTGGATACCCGCAACCATGGGTTTGATTGCCATCCCTACTCCTCGTACCTACAAATTTTAATTGGGTATCCATTTTTGTTGTCCCAAATCGAAATTTAGGGTGTTATAACACATACATCTCTCCTTATTTTCACAAATAATATGCTCTTTGATCTCACAATTCACTAACAAACATTCATATATTTGTTTCACAAAAAAAAACCTTCATATATTTGTTAACTTATTTACTATCCGAGCAATCCAACATTCCAAACTGAATTTATATATCAACATCATTCTCCAATAAAAGAAAACTCTATGTTGAGGTTGATGGTTAAGGAAACACAAAATCTAGTTTCCAAGAAACAAAAGAAAGTATCTCCCTCTATATCGCCGAGAATTTAACACAAAATCTATGTTCTATCTAAAACAAAAAGGAAAAGTTGAGCAAGAAGAAAAAAAAAGGGTTTGAAGAGATTTCATCTGTCTTGTTGCATTAGCTACTTCTCACTTTGATCTATCAAACAAATGTCTCGCCGGAGTCGTCAAAAGAATAAAAAGAACAAAACAATGGCTCCAACAATGGTATACGACGATGTTTGCGAGGAAGAGGACATGAGCATCATCACCTCTTCCGAGAATAGCCATTTCATCTTCACAATTGATACAAGATTGTTGATTGACCCTCGTCTAGTTTTTATCCACAAATTAATTGGCGAAGGCAATTGCTCCAGGGTATACGCAGGAATGTATGTTTTCTTCTTCTTATTTCCTATTTAGAAATTAAGAGTTCTACGATAAATCTTTTATTATGTTTTGTTTTTCTCATTATGTGTTATTATACATTTATATTTGTTGGGGGAAATTATGTTTTTCATAGCATTTATAAGCACAATATGAGCAGGATCAACTATACGTTAGTGAAAGGTTATTGAAAAATTTGTATTCTCGTGTGTTGGAAATCAAAATTGTAGATTAATATGCTTCAAGTGGTTTATATATATGAAAATTAATTCGTCACAAGTAGTTTTACCTGCCAGGAAAAAATGTTGGAGATAGATGCTTAAGTTTCACATGTGACTGAAGCTTGAATCCTTATACACAAAACCCAATCTGAATATTTATAATATTCTTCGAAATAATTTCTTTCGTTTAATCCTTGGTTTGCAATAGGTTCGAGTCCAAATCGGTTGCTGTGAAGGTCATCCAACCAATGAGAACATCAGATGTTCTCTTCCAACACAAAGAGAGATTCGAAAGAGAAGTCACCATACAGTCAAAGACCAATCATCCAAACATTGTCCAGCTAGTTGGAGCATCTGTGGATCCTGCCATGTTCTTAATCACGGAGCTCATGTCCGGTGGAACCCTACAGAAATACCTGTTGAGTGTCCGCCCCAGCCGTTTGGATTTGGAACTTTCTCTTGGTTTTGCTCTGGACATTTCACGTGCAATGGAGTATTTGCATGATATCGGCATCATCCATCGCGACCTCAAACCTGGTGATGAACTAGTAAAGTCATTCGCAACATTCATATAAACAAAACTGCACATTACTTACATTTCAATATTGGGTTCTTTTCAGGCAATTTACTGCTCACGGAAGACCACAAGAGCGTGAAAGTGGGTGATTTTGGACTTGCAAAGGAGTTGATGACAAATGAAATGACGTGCGAGGCTGGAACCTACAGATGGATGGCGCCTGAGGTGTTCAGTCGAGAATCACTCCAAATTGGAACCAAAAAGCATTACGACCACAAGGTGGATGTCTACAGCTTTGCAATCATCTTGTGGGAATTACTCACCAATGAATCTCCATACAAAGGAAGAAACATGCTCGCTATAGCCTATGCCGCCATAGCCAAAGTATGTCTGTGTTTGATCATCATGAATTGAAATCCATTTAAAAATATTCAAACTCAAGATGATATATTCACCATCAGTGGAAATATGACGTGTAACTTTTCCTCCTATGCTTGCATGCAGAAAGAGAGACCTAGCTTGGAGAACCTCCCAAACGACGTCGTCCCACTCCTACAATCTTGTTGGTCCGAGGACCCAAGCTGTCGACCAGAGTTCACAGAGATCACACGTCACCTAGAAGATGTGTTGAAGAGAATCAAGGGTTCTGAAAACTCGTCGTCTTTCAACGATGCAACGATGGCAACTATTGACAACCATAGTAAAAGTAATAGTGTTGAGACAAAGGATCATGAACAACTAATTGTGAATGGTAAAGGTGGTCACATGATAAAAAAGTCGGTTGCAAAGGTGAAAAAGAGTAAACATGGAACCCCGTTCTTTATTTGCTTCAACGATTGCTTGTGTGAATAGTATTGTTTTGTTGCGTATTTATTTACTAGGGCATGTGAAAGAACAAATATCAGAGCCTCGTGTTCTCTTTTGTGCTTGTAAATATTTAAGGAACCCGAGTGCGATTGTAGATTTAACGTAATTCATGTTATATAGAACACCTACATATTTTTGGTGGGTTGTTGTACATTACTATTTGATAGGTATCTTATTGTATATTCTCTACAAACTTCTTATTCAGGAAATGTAAATTAAAGAGGATTTGTATATAACTAATTAATTCATATTGCTGAAATATAATAAAATTCTTGATTTATGCGGAGTTATTAAAATAGCTGATGTGCAATGTAGGCTTATCTAGACTCTTACCCAAGTCCAAAAAATTTCATGAACTCATTAAAGAGCTCCTTGATAGGTCATGGAACATGGATCGTTAGAGATAGAAATGTGAATCATGAGTAAAACCATTGCTCTATTCCTTAGCTATTAAGGGCAGAGTCATGGCCATTTAGGGGTATTCTGGGACACCCCTAAATTTGAGGGACGAGATTTACATGCATGTCACCGTAACTTGCTTTTTTAGGTCGACCTAATATGATGTTTCAATTTTGTGAGGTTCAACGGCGCGGTTGACCTTTTATAGCAAATGGTCGACCTCTTTGGGAAGCGATGTGGGTGGTTCTTTTACTCGTACAAATTACGTTTCAAACCAACAGAATCAGTCATAAATAATGATAACAAGGACTCATAACTTCCTAACATAACAACTAAACAAACTAACAAGAAATACAATAAAACACAAATCATAATTGTTCACACATAACTAAAATCTAAAACCACATAATATCAATCCACAATCGTTTTTAACACTTAACAATAAAAACACACAATCTAAAATCGCCGAGTTCCTACTCCTATGACATGCAAGTATCTTCCACTGAAAGATCGAAACTCATCTCGCATCTCATTCACGGTCACCTGCAGTGTGCTCATCTGGGTGGTCATTTGCCCCATGTAGTCGTGCATGCCAGTCATCTGGTTGGAAATCTGGCCCATGTAGTCGTACATGTCATCCATACGCTTCCCAAGAGGTCGACCATTTGCTATAAAAGGTCAACCGCGTCGTTGAACCTCACATAACTGAAACGACATATTAGGTCGACCTTATCCTATGTAAGGTCGACCTAAAAGTGCATATTAGGTCGACCTAATCCTATATAAGGTCGACCTAAAAGTGCATATTAGGTCGACCTAATCCTGTATAAGGTCGACCTAAAAGTGCAAGTTACGGTAACATGCATGTCACCATAGGCATACTCAGATTTATTTTTACCCCGACTTTAATTTGTGAATCATCGACTTTCTACTAATAGTTTGAATTCAGAGGAAAGGGGGAAAAAAGAGGTAATAGTGTTTTTTATTCGAACCGTAACTTGTAATAGTTAGATAAAGTGTTATTGATTACACTACAAACAATTTGTTGTTATATTCGAAACATAAATATAAATAGAATCTAAAACAAAGTCTAAATAAATCCTGTTTTCGAAATTTTCGTCCAAAGCCGCCTAAAAACTAAATTATCTATCACCACCCTTTTGATATTGACAAAGTTTGCATCACACTCAGGTTGAACTGTTTTAATCGGTTCTTGATATGCAACTACAAGATTTGAACTACTTACTATTTTGATGAGTGAAGACTAGGTTGTGACTTTTATTACTTGTCTTAGCCGCGAGAATGAGTAAGCTGCTCTTAACATGGAGAAGCTAATAAGCCTTACTTAATTTTATCCTAATAAGTTTGGTCATCTTTCTTAGAGCATCTCCATCGGCTCTATTTTCCCAATTTCATTATGACGTGTATGGAGGTTTGCAATGGCAAACTTAATTTCATTGATGTGGGAAGTGGTGTAACTGATGCAAGCTTTCATATTATGAAAGTCCATTTGCAATGCCAACATGGAGGAATGGTGGGTCGGATCTGGTTTTTTATGCCATTTAAATAAATTGAAATATATTTTGAATGTATTATATTTTTATATGCAATTGCAAATGAATTGCATTGATGTAGGTGCAATGAAATAAAAATGAGTTGGATTGCATAAAATTAAAAAAAAATCATAAAAACATCATATGCAATTGAATTTGCAATTGCATTGATGGAGATGCTCTTAGTCATTTCTATTATGACACTTCGGAAAATTATCAGTGTGTCAAGAATTGTGAGTCTCTTTCTTGGGTTAAAAGAATTGATTTAGTTTAGTTTATAGTGAAGATAAAAGTGAATCTATCGTATTCATCAATTTATTTTCTTATTAAACTTGTATTGAGTTCATCATTTGCAATTGTTGTTGAAAGACGTTTTTTAGCTTTGGGTTACATATAGAAAAAACTTCAAAATTGGATAGGTAATTACTTCGTGAATGATTATTTAATTGAATATATTGAAATTTTTTATTTAACACGGTACATACTCAATGTATTTTACTATCTTTTTACAAATATGAATACACTTCGATATTTTGTTGTAACGTCAAACATGTACCAATTGACATCACCAAAAGAAAAAAAAACATGTACCAATTGAGTATTGTCTATTTTAAAAAGTGAAATTATCTGTTAATTCAGAAGATGACACCCCTGGCTTATATCTTAGATCCGCAAGTTATTAAGGAATATTTTGGGGTCTGAATCAGTTCAGTAAGCCTCCAAATACGGTGCATAACCATCACTAGTTAAATCTGAACACTTGATTCCGAAAATTCTGAACTAGGCAGGGGCGGAGCTAGCTTAGTCCTCGGGGGGTCCCCGGCCCCGCGAGAATTTTGAAAGTTACGTGTAAAAAGTTCAAGACTATACGTATAAATTAAAATGAATGTACAAATAACCACTGACATGAGGAATTATACAATTTCACCCTATTTAAAGTTACGGTATACAATTTCCTTTCCCCCTCATATTTTGGTTCATTAAATTTTAATTTAATATTATATCAATTAAAATTATCAATTCTAAGGTTACTTTTAGATATATAATGAGTACTTTTGGATAATAATATACATAGAGCTTAACTTTTTAGTTATGAAATCAAAATATACCACAAAAAATTGAAATGTGTTGTTAATTTCTTCATATTATTCTAATTTATATTGAATTTAATATGAAAAATATTGTGTGTATAATTAATTTTTTCAAATATTTGTTTATTAGTATTTTTCGTCATGTACGTTAACCTGATTCTGGCCCCGCCTCCCCCCCCCCCCCCCAACCACCCCGAAAACTAAATCCTAGCTCCGCCCCAGGAACTAGGGGTGGAGAATTATAGACATTTTTATTTTTAATTATTTTCTTAATTGCCTCATATCTTCTTCGTTTTAACTCGGATTTCAATTTTTTTTGCATAGATGGAACGAGTTCGTTGTGCTCTATAAAAATGAGATCCATATTCAATATTTTTTGAGAATCTTTTTTCTTGCCTCTCATTACCAACTGAATCCATATGGTATCTTCTTCGTCTTTAAGTTGTTTTTTAAAAATTTTGCACAAAAGGAATGAGTTCATCATGATCTATTGGATCTAAAAATTTCTAGGTGAACAACATACAGGACGAAAAAATACCACACAATACCACCCTGATACGAGGTGGTATCTTGTGGTACACAATAATAAAAGTCGTAAATGACCGTTAGTATACTCCTACTATCATGTATTTAACCATCTTATAGTCTTGGTATGTTCATATCACCGTGGTACTCTTTTCATACCATATGATATGCTCTTATTTCAATACCAGTCAATCCAATATGGTATAGACTGGTAAAAAATTGCAGAATTTTTTTGCTCCAAAAATATATCAAAGTTGATATCATTTTGAAGAACACAATTAATTTAATCTTATTGTGCAAAAAAATAAATTACAACTTAAAACGAGTGAGAAATCGTCCGTTAAAGATTAAATGGGGAAAATTAAAGGCTTTATAGGAGAGAGAATGAGTGCTGATGTGGTGGATGGTGATTGGGTTATGCATAGTTACTCATCACAAGGTTACTGTCCGGATCTGTTCCCGGTCAATAACCTCAGAGTCAGTAACTGTGAGTAACCTGTCCACATCAGTGTGACATCAGCATCTTCTCTCTTATGGATGGTCTTTAATCTTTTCTCTTTTAATTTTTAACGAACGATTTCTCTCTCTTTTTCATTTGGAATTTAAATTTTTTTGCACAGACAAATCAGATTAATTGTGCTCTTTAAAATGATATCCATTTTGATATATTTTAAGAACAAAAAAAGCGAGACATTTTTTACGAATCTATATCATATGATATTGACTGCTCGGTCTATGCCTTCGTGGGGGTGACAAAGTATCTTGTTTGGCAGGCAGTTAATGGTCAAGGGTCTGTGTTGGCAGATTGGTTATGGGCGGACTGCCCCCTTGCTCCATTCCAGCTGGATTCAACGTATACACCCAAATATCCTTGTATTTAATCAACGACAATGCAGTCAAATTGGGATTTTGATCGTAAAATCGTAGAATTTTAGGATTTTACTTAGGGATTCCGATCCTGATTTAACTATAAAATCGATGGACCTTAAAATCGAGATTAAAATTGTAAAATCGTACAAAAATCGGGATGTTGATCGTATGAGAAAAAAAAAAGGTAGTTTGAGCCAATTTAAAAGAAGCATAACTGTTACGGGGGAAAGGGAAATAACGGGAATCTTCTCAGATATTTTTCTATTTAAAAATAATAAAAATAACCAAATTAGGGCTTGCTCAATCCATTTCCCTTTGCCCCATTTAACTTATTGGTAAAACAATTATCCTAATATTGGTAGTAGGGATGGCAATGGGTAGGGTCGGGTGCGGGTTTATCCTATACCAAATCCTAACCCGCCAGGTAGAGCTTTCTAAAATACCCGACCAAATAACCACCGGGTAGAAAATTATATAACCATACCCTACCCACCGGGTAACCACGGGTATTCGGGTAACCATTGGTACGAATCCTAAACTATGAACCTATACACATATATGCACATACATACCGTTGTCCATTAAAAATTCTCAATACTTGTAACTGTTCTAGCTTCAACAATCCACACAAATAAAAATAGCAAACACATAATAATTGTTCTTGCTTCTACAATCCACACAAATATAATAATCGTCTACATCTTCATCATTAATAATGGTAGCTAAACTTAATTTCTCAAACTAAAATAAATTTCTCAAGGGAAATTGACCCTTTGGTTAGCGGGGCGGGTGTAACGGGGCGGGTATTATCGATTTCAATACCCGTACCCTACCCTTTATTTTGAAACCAGGTATTTGATATGATCCCAATTGGATCAATCCACAATTCACAATTACTTGTCAAAGAAGCGATCTCACCTTACTAGAAGAATTCTGATTTTTTGCTAAGTGTTAAAACAGTTTCAGGTAGTCTACTTTGGAAGCTTGTATCTCACAAATAGCTCAATGAACATTGGATATCAAGAGCTTTTTTTCAAGATAAAGTTTTCATGTTTCCAATGGTATGTTTTTCGGATCCAGAATATGTCATTAAGGTTGTTTTCCAAGGCTTCAAAGTTGCTACCTCAGAACTGGAAAACTGCCTGAAAATGGCTAAGGCAGAAAACTATTTTGTGAAGCCTATTTTGGAGCTCAATTCAAGGAGCATGGAGGGGATTCAAGTCAAAGGGTTTCCATAACATAAAACTAGGTATGTTTGTGAACAAAGGGAAGGAATTGGATGAAAGATTGGAGTTCGGGAAGGCCTTGAACGAACGGCACGAAGTTAGTACGAAAACTGTTTTTGGACAGTTTGCTTGTGCTAAAACGCAGCTTGCTTGTGCTTGAAGAAAGAGAGCTTATGGCCGAGTTTTGAGTCCTTTTTAGAGTTTGTTTTTACCATAATTTTTTCCTAGTTCTATTAGGTTTGTATTAGGTTTTTATTGTCTTTAAATAGCTTTCGATTTCACGCTGTAAATGATCCAAGTTTTAGTTGAATGAAAATTGCTCCTTTGTGAGAATTGTGTTCTTTGAGAGTTCTCAAGAATTAGAACTGTCTGGATTGTGTGCGGCAGTGACTGGATGACTGCAATGACTTCCGTTATGTGTAATTTTCTGTATGAATTTGTTTGTTTGAAGGTTTCGTGGTTGTATGGATGGATTCGAAGATGTTGATTTCCCGGTGTTAGAGTCTGAAGCTTTGTTCATTGGGAAAGCTGGAGAGGAAAATAGCGGCCAAGTTGGTGTGCTGGTCTGAAACTGTTATAATTCTCAGTTTCTCAGCCATAGGTATAGAATCAATATTCTGTGATGGATGAAGGGGAAGTAAACTACAATTTGATTGCTATGCTCAAACGTTGGTGTTTAGGACTCTTAAATAGAATGCTTTACAGGTAAAAAACCATTGTAGGTCATGAATGGTTCCCTTCCTAATGGTTTCCCTTCTCTGCAGTTGTATTGTTTCGAAGATCGTTGGAATCGTCGTGTGCTTTGAGGCCTGAGTTGGCTCCTTCACTAGCTATGCTGGTCATTCGGAAAGGGTACTCAAGCTTCAGCCGCATTTGCTATTTGCTCTTTTTTTTCTTTCAACTTGATGTTTGTGTTGGACCTGCATTGTTGTTTTGGTGTTTGAAGACTTGAAAAACTGTGTATTGATTTAAGTATTGCTTATGCTTTGTATCCAGGTATAGATGCCAGAATTAATCTCCGTGTTCCCCCCCCCCCTAAAAAACCCGCACCTTTGCCATTAAAATGGTTTGCTGTTGGACATTGTTGGCAGTATGAGAGGATGACAAGGAAATGGACTCTTTCTCTCTCATTTGTGATCCGGTTTCGCTCTCTATCTTCTGTTTCGTTCTAACGTTCTCTTCGGCACAGTGTATTCTAAATCAAGCATTTCTACTACTTGCATTGTCTACCTACATCAACTGAAAAATTGTATTGAGAATAAAATATTTAGAATCAAAGATTACAAATAATTCCTTACATTTTAAAGGTTCCAAATAATACCTTACATTTTACGCCTCCCAGCGCAAAGCGCGGGTTGATAGCTAGTTTGTACCAATAGCCGAAGTTGTTGGAAATCATTTTGATCCTTGGCTTCGCCATTATGGACAGATTATATATGTGACGTAATGAAGGCCTCTGAACCTTGAGGTTTTAGTATTCTGAAATGTGTAGGTCGATTATTGTAAATTCAGCGGTTCGTTGAGAATTATCGAAGATATCATGAAAGTGCTTGTTTCCTACTTTTCATCTGTCCTCTCGAACTCTTCGTTCTAATCTCGTTCTTATTATGTTTTCATTGTTCTAAATTATCTTTTTTTTTATATCTATATTGACTCTTTAAATCGATTCATCAATTTATCTTGAATACTAACAATCCATCTGTGGATGACAATTTTGTCCAAACTCATGAATATTTAATTATCCAACTCAATTGGATTGAGGATGAAATTCAAATACAAGTTATATGAATAGATTGTGATGGGTTTATACTCATATACATTTATTTGGGTTGGGTTGGGTTAAGTTAACTTAAGTTTTTAATCAATTAATTTGTGTTTGCATCCGTATTTATATGTAAATTTTAATTTGGTACCTAAACTTAACATATATTTAGATTTAGTACCTAATTAAAAGTTTAATTTAAGTCCTAAAAATATTAGTATATAATTACATTTTAGTACCTAAAAATTTTATACCTTACATTTTTTATAACTAAACTTTTTAAGTAACAAATAGGTTCGATTTTATATTTGTAGTTAAAACAATCTTCAATGAATGGGCATGCATACCTACCCATACCCATTGAAAATATGAAAGCAATATCATAGCCGATCCAAACTCATCTAAAACTTTAAATGCATGTATACTTCACCTTTACCCTATCCATAATCAACGTGTTTACCTGAATTTGAATAAGATTATCCATGAATGGGTAGTTGTCATCCCTATTTCTTTGTGTTTTGTTATCCAACTGCGTGCATCACGAGTTGTTGAGTTTGTTTCTTGTAGCACCTTTGAATGCAAAGAAGGGACTCTTTGGAGATATTGCCTCTTGTTACAGAAATCGAGAGAACCCTTCGAAATCTAAGAAGAGTTGTGAGACATCAACCTCCACCAATGGCGGATCAACAACATCAACCTCAAGTTCCACCAAGGCCTAGAACAATGAGATCTTACTCAAGGCCAAGTGTGGATAATGTTCAATCACCTATTCTTCACCCAATAGTGCCGAACAACAAATATGAGATAAAGCAAGCACAATTTCGATGCTTCAAAGTGCGGTTCAATTCAATGGGATGATAACTGAAGATGCTCATGCACATATCAAGTCGTTATACGAAGTGACGGATGAAATCAAGGTGAACAGAGTTCCTCAAGAAGCAATTCGTCTGAGGTTATTTCCGTTTACTCTAAATGGAGCGGCAAAGCAATGGTTAAACAATCATCCCCATCATTCCATCGACTCGTGGGATGATCTATGCAACAAGTTATTCGAAACATACATTCCATCTTCTAAGATGGCTCTTATGAGAAGTGAGATTACTATGTTCCGTCAAGAGGAGGATGAACCAATGTTTGAAGCATGGGAAAGCTTTACATCTCGCCTACTCAAATGTCCACACCATGGCATCGCCGATTGGTTACAAGTGGAAAGCTTTTATAATGGTTTAACATGGGAGTCACGCCACCTTATCGATGCGGCTAGTGGAGGTGTCATAAGGAACAATGAAGTCAGTGAACTTTAAAGATTGATTGAAGAAATGGCCCTAAATAGCTACGATTGGAGGGACATAATGAGATGTAAGAGTGTGAAGAAGGGAAGTTTATTGAAGAATGAAGAACCATCGTCGTTAGTGGTTCATATACAAGAACTTTCCAAGAAAATTGATCAAGTTGCGTCATCAATGAAAGGCAATGAGAAGCAACTCATCATATGTGATTGGTGTGGCAACTCGAGTCACACTATGGATGAGTGTAAGTCTATGATTGAGGCCTCAATACAATTTGAGCAAGCCAACTTTGTTGGAGGGCAATCCTCTGGAAACAACCCTTATAGATCTACATATAATCCGGGTTGGAGGAACCATCCTAACTTTCTTTAGTCTTCTATGATGGATAGGAAGCCTCCAGGGTTTCAATCTCAAGCTCCTATGAAAAATGCTTACCCAAGGCCGAGTCAACCCTCATACGAAGGAGCATACCAAGAACAAAGTTGACCATCTGATGGTCGAGTCTCTAAACTTGAAGACTTGGTAGGACAATTCGTTACACACTCCAACAAGAAGTTTGAGGCTATTGACAAATTCATAGAGAACACTATGCCAAATTCTCAAGTTTGGAAGCGGGTCCAAGGAATCAACAAGCCTCACTTCAAAATCTTCAAGCCCAACTAAGCTCATTGGCACAAACTCTTTCGTCAAGACCACAAGGAACTTTACCGGGCAATATGGAGCCTAACCGTAAGGAGCGATGTCATGCTGTAACTCTAAGGAGTGACCGACCTTTGAAGGAGATTCCTATCTCAACACCGAGTATACTGGTAAGAGAAGTTCAACGTGAAGTTGTTCAAGAAGAAGAGTTAGTTCGGGAAGAAGTGCAACCCACTATCGAAATCAAGATTGAAGATGAGGAGAAGTCTAAGAAGATTTAAGCACCCGATCCAACACCAAAATATCATTATCCTATAAGGTTATTCTAAAGTGATCTATATCATGAATGTGCTCCGTGGAAGGACACTTTGAAGAAATTGAAGGTAACGGTCCCTTTCTTAGACATGGTTATGAAGATTCCAAAATATACTAAGTTCTTGAAAGAAATATTGCGGGGAAAGAGGAAAATGGAAAACCTTGCTATGGTATCCATTAGTGAAGTTACCTCGGCATCCATCGGATGTGAAGGCTTCCCTCAAAATTAAGAGATTTGGGAATCTTCACTATTCCATGCACCTTCAGAGTCAAAAGCTTTTGGAATCCGCTAGCAGATTTGGGGTCTAGTATCAATATTACGCCTACAAGAATATAAAGTGAGTTAGACCTTGGACCACCCATACCTATTAAAATGCAGATTGAATTGGCTAGTAGGTCAGTTATCGAACAAAAAGGAATCATAGAAAATGACTTGGTGAAATGTGCTCATTTTTTATATCCTATGGACTTCGTGGTTCTCGACATAGAAGGGTGTGATGCATCGATAATCCTAGGCCGATCATTCTTAGCTACGGCAAGGACAATTATCGATTTGAGTGGGAGCAAGATCACCTTAAGGTTTGGAGAGGAGGAGATAAGCTACAAGATGACTACAATCCCCAATTTTCACAATTATTACAAATGGGACGATGTCAAGATGGATTGTGAACTGGTGACACCTCCTACCACACCTTCTTCAAGCCCCGAGATAGTATGGTTCAATATGGTTTCTCATGTGACCCTCATGATAGAAGAGTTGAAGGTGTGAGTGATTCTTGCGAGATTAAGAAGAGGTCGGGTAAAGAAAAGTTTCCTTACAAAAGGCTACTCAAGAGTTGTTCAAAGTTTCTCATCAAGCCAATGATCATTGAAGGAAACTTAGAACATTCGTCTTTGAAGAAAGATACCCCAAGGAAAGCGTTCGAAATGTTAAGAGCAAACTAGATCCTATATTCGAAGATGAAGAATCCGGGGAATGCTATAAGCCATTCACAAATGAGGACATTTATACAAGGGAGTTTAGTTCTTTCAATCATGAGCACCAATCTTCGGATATGTCGTTTGAATCTCAAGCACCGGATGAGGCATCCAAGAGACTCCATTGTCTTCACTTGGGACTCCACCACAAGTATGATTTCTACGAAGAATCATCAATGAGAGCTCTTACCTCTTGATCTCAAGGAGTCGAGTCCGCTATTGGAGTTAGATTTTATCCTTTTGTTTTGAATATAGTCCCCCTCAATAGCGGAAGCTACCGCTTCTAGAATGCAAGCTTATCCTTGACTTTTTTTAGAGCTTCCCGCTATTAAAGAGTACCAGCGTTAGCGCCCTTCTCTGTCTCCATCAATGGCAGATAAAAGTGGTACACTCAAGTCGGAGCCCACTTATCTATAGAATTTATCTTCCAAGGGCCAGTCTAATTTTGGGGAGGTTTGAATTTTGGAGATTGAAAGGTCAAGGTATTATGCATATAGAGAAGGCGGGACTAGTGAAGCGGCCTACCCTTTGCTGCTCTGTTCTGATTGTGGGTCGGGCCAAGACTCGCCCCGTTCTAGAGCGGGCCGGGTTCTACCTGTCCCAACACTGGCTGGGTCGAGGGAATCCCGTCGGGGCGAGTCCAGTCTACCATCACTACTTCCAACTAACGCCGAACCTTAATCTAGTTTAATACTAACTTAGTGAGTGGTTTTAAGTTGGATGCGACTCCCAAAACTGATGAGTAAGCATTTGAAATTAATTAATTAATTAATCTCCAGAAGGTAAATTTTATCGATGAGGTTAACATTTTTTAAGGGTTAATGATTATTTATTGCTTCAATACAAAAGAAAGCACCGTTTGCAGTGAAAGAATCAAAGAACAGATATAATCATAATAATAAAAATACGAAAGAATTGTCATTAACATTTAACATTTAACGATATAATCATAATAATAAAAATATAGTAATTCACTAATTTGTCCTTATCCTCTCCAACTGAGGGAGAGGACAGATAGGCTCAGAATTTTGATGAGTCACTGAGCCGACGCCAACGACGAGCCAGGTCATAGAAATCCTAATCCACTGAGTCACCGACAGCTGGAATCTACTTTCCTCGCACGTGTCGGCCCCCAAATCGGAAAAAGAGAAAACCCTAATCTCGCCCACCAGTCATCACTTCTTTACCCCGCGATTGGACACCGCCCCACCACATCATCGCCTTCATCATCATCCTCCTCAATCCCCCTCTCCCCGTTTTTTTTTCCTGTTAATTTCCCCATTTTCGCCGCGAAACCCAACAGTCCGCCAGCTCTTCTTCTTCTTCAGTGGGTTCGGTTCTTGGCGGCGAGTAGGAGAGGAAAGGCCGGAGATTGGACTCCGTTTCGCAATTGGGTAGCTGGGTGTTTGGTGGCTTCGTGTTTGTTTGGGTGCATATTCTTGCGGGCTCTTTTTTTCTTTTTTTCTTCCGGGTGTGTGGTGTGGGTTTAGCCTTTTGATTCTGAGCCGTTGATCCTTTGGGAGGGGAAGTATCAAAAGAGAAGAGGGCTTTTGTTTTGTTTTTACTCCTGGTGGGTGTCTTAAAGTATCCAACTTGGACTTCCACCTCACTCTCTCTTTCTCTGGCACGCCATGGAAGCAGGTCAGATCCCCTCTCTCTCTCCCTCTCTGCCAGCTGATTATTATTTGCTCTTGCTTCTCACCGTGTTTTGCATGTTTGGCTCGTTTCCGATTGATTTGGTTTACTCGTTTGGGATCTGCGATTATTAGACATTTAGACTTAATGTCATGGGCGATTGGGGAAGTCTGACTTCTTGTTGTCCTCTCCTTTCATTTCAAATTTTTTTTTTTGGTCTTTTGGACTTTCCTCTTTTGGGTTTGAGTTGGATTGGGCAGCTACAGTCTAGCTATGACCAATCAAGCAAAGTTCAGGTGTCTAGATATATGAATTTTGTTCATGGACCGAGTTTGTTCATTCCGCTAGTTAACTTTAGGAATCTGGGAATTAAAGTGTAGCTCTGTTTTTAGCTTTTACCAGTCGGTCTCTTAAGTTCTTATGGAAGGGCCTAGGAATCGTCCATGTCATGGATTTGGACTGTGGTCTTGGCTCAAGTAGCGTCTGCCTTGCGTCATAATTTGCATATAGGGAGTGACTGTTAGAGTAGATTGCTATTTTCTGGCTGCAATTAATGGATGTTCCCTATATATAGGGCGGTAAAATCCCAGATATCGGCCGGGTTCTTGTTCTTGTTTGATTCACAAGACAATCAACGTATTATTTGTTCACGGCTCTTATGTGGACACTTGTCTTCTATTTGTGTGGGAATGTGACGAAATGTGCTTCGATTAGTTTCAAACGATTCGGGGAAAACAGCTTTAGCTTATGTTTAGATTCTCGGCCGGAAGAATGCCAGGTAGCATTGTGAGTTATGATGATTGATTACCTTGGATATGCCCAACGATCAAAAAGGAAGGGAAAATTGTCTACTTTCGTACGGTCTAAGGATATGGAATGGAAGGAAGGAATAGTGAATGATTTTGGTTGTTGGTGGAACTTGGAATGGAAGCTGTCAAATTGGAGATAGTGCAAATCTTTCCCATCTTCTCTGGAGGCCCTTCAACTAATAATCAGTCTGCTTAGCTGTCAGTCAGCCTTCTGCTTTGGTGTGGGAGCATGTCCCTCAATCCCTCTCACATCTGAATAAGAATCAGAGGATATTATGCTGAATTGTATGGTACATGACTTGATTTTTTCAAAGCCTTATGTTTAGTTGTTAGAGATGTTGGGCTAAGTCTCGGTGAATGTTGTTTATTTGCTGGAAACCTACTATGTTCAACTGTTCAAGTGAATTGTGTTCATTGTTTGAACCTACCGAGCTAGTTGAGTGAAGGATTTGATTCTCTCTTTTTAGGTCTTATCTTAAATCTTCACATGGATCTATTGTGCGACTACTACCTTTACTAGATATGGGATTTAACTGATGACAATCTTGAATCATTACTTTTCCGATCTGGGATTTTGCTGAATCCACAGGCTGCTTGTTATGAGTCAATTAAAGTCTGGTAAAATTTATATAAGTGATTGTGATAAGGCACGATGGTTTAAGGGTGCTTCATGGAGATCCATGCTGGTTTTGTGTTGGCTGTGATTTTGACAAGATGAGACACATGAGTTTTGCCTACTTTTTCCTGAGCTGTTGAATGTTGCAACTTTCAACACTGATTAGCAGTAGATAACATCTATTACATGGAAACTGAAATAACATGTCCGTAAAAATAATTGGGAGTTTTTCACTGAAAGGATGTGATATCTGATTTGCATGGGTTACATGGAATGCTATTTACAGGGGATTTCTAGATATTATTGCAATAATCAAGGTCAAGGTCAAGGTAAAGGTCATCCATCCATAAGGATTGAAGCTTGTGTACCACTTCACTTAATCAAATGGGAACAGGTGAAGAGAGCGGACCTGCTAAACCATCTAAACCGGCAGCTACTTCTACTCAGGTAATTTCATACTGTTGTCCATCCATATTTATCCACTTTAATACTTATTGCACCCAAAATTCACTATTTGCATTTCCTTTGCAGGAAGTTCAATCAACACCCGCATATCCAGAGTGGCCAGGTTCCATGCAGGTTAGTCTTTAGCATCTTAGGTCTCGTGTCCACCCACCATTTCTTTTGTCAATTGTTTTTCTGGTCATATTCAGGTTTGTTATGGTGCTGGGCAGTTAATTTTAAATGCTGACAGTTATTACTATGTTCAGGTTTATTATGGTGCTGGAGCCACTCCACCTTTTTTTCCATCAACTGTTGCTTCTCCCCACCCCTATGTATACCAGGTGAGTTCGATGCTTGTGTCAATAAGTTTCATGTTTGCCTCCTTTTCTGATTAAACTGACGTACTATCTTACTATTGTTTCTGTTTGAATTTTTAGCATACATTTGTACCACATTATGGCACCCCAGTTCCATATCCAGCTCTATATCCTGCAGGGGGTGTGTATCCTCACCCTAATATGGCCATGGTAATACCAGTATGCTTTATGCTCATATTTTCTCTTTGTCCCTGTCCTCCGTGTTTTCCTATTCAGTGTAGGTGAACTGAATCATGTTACTATTGTTCCTTTAGAAGCTGAAATTAGTTTGATTGGTTGACTCATGTTCTGTAGGCACCAAACACAGTAGCACCAAGCGCGGAGACGGAAGGAAAGGGAGTTAATGGAAAGGATCAGCCCTCTGCAAAGAAGACAAAGGTAACACCAGTAAGCAAAGTTGCAGAGAGTGGAAAAGCAGCTTCAGGTTCAGGGGACGGCGGCTCCCAAAGGTCACCCCTGAATTACTTTTTAACTCAATTCATGGAAATTTAGTCATGTATCTCTTCCATCACCTGTGGCTGATAGAAACAGTACTTATTAACACAGTGGAGACAGTGGCAGCGAGGGCTCGTCAGATGGTAGCGATGACCAGCAGGTCTTAATTCATGAGAATTGCTACTCTTTCTGTAATCACGAAATCAGTCTGTGTCTGTTTTTCCAAGATCCTCTTGTAACATATGATTGTCTTACTATTTTTATCAGGAATATACAGCAAGTAAGAAGGGAAGCAGCTTCAATCAGATGCTGGCAGATGGTATATTTTCCATCTTTACACTTGGTGGTTATCATTTTGTGTGCTGGAATGTGTCATCACTTTTTATTTTTCTCAATAGCCACTGCACAAAACAACAATGGTGCACCAAACCCCCATGGTGCTGTGCCTGTTGCATCTGTTCCGGCAACCAATCTAAATATTGGGATGGACTTATGGAACGCCTCTCCTGCTGCTGCTGCCTTGGGAACTGCAAAAATGAGGACGAATCCCCCTGGTGGTTCATCGTCAATGCCTGAGCAATGGCTTCAGGTACTTTAATCCTCCTGTACTTGATCATCTCTCATCATCTTGGGCATGCCAAGCAGCATTATAATCCTTAGAAATGCTTTAGGCAGAAACTTGATGCTTAGTTAGGTTGTTCACCACACCAATTTATTTCCTGTGCTCTTAAAATATCAAGTATTGTTCCTCTCAGGATGAGCGAGAAATTAAAAGGCAGAAGAGAAAGCAATCTAACAGGGAGTCGGCTAGAAGATCCAGATTACGCAAGCAGGTAAAGTTTTCATTCAGTCTCTTGAAGATCATTAGGTTAAATGTCCCCTTGCGTGTAGCCCATATTGAAGAGATAGTTTCTCATGACTTCTCCGATTCACGTAATGAATGCTTCTTGGTTTACCCATCAACTAGGTTATGCCAATCTCGGTAACAGTTGAAACAAATTTCTACCTTTTTTGGCAGGCTGAATGTGAAGAGCTACAACATAGGGTACAAAACCTGACCAACGACAATCACGCTCTTAAAAATGAGTTACTGAGGCTTTCTGAGGAGTGCGAGAAACTGAAATCTGAGAATGATTCCATCAAGGTTCAGTATCCCTGCTCTGCTCTCCTAGTAGTAGTCTCCATGGTGTTTTATTATCTGTCCACCATGCTGCTAACAGACTCCTGATTTCTTTTCCCACTTGTTCCAGAAAAAATTGAAGGACTCATACGGGCAAGAAGCAGAAGATCAGCTTGAGCAAAACAACCTGACCTCGCGAGGTGACGAAGGGAATAGTTGAGAGATGACATTAGGAGGCTACTTCTGATAGATATATAGCACTGCCCTACCCAGTTGGTCTACTCGCAGTTACGAAGTATTGACCACCTTATTGAGCCATAGGACAATGATTCTCTTCACTGATCTATACCCTATTTACCCTTAACCCTTTTTAGTTGTAACAGTGTTTTCAACATTTTTTTTTTACATCCCCTTTATAAGGACTGTAACTGAGCTGGAATCCGTGCTCATGAGACCTATACGACTGCTTTGTTGTGCTATTATTAGTCAAGCAGGTCGTAAGAAGGCCATGTCTGGGGATTTTGTGTATTACTACATACAGTAGTCTGGTTAATTTTCCCTCCATTGAACAGAAGGATAGCAATTTTCGAATCAATGTGCGTATATGAAGCTTTTTTGTTAAATAGAAAGTCAAATTCATTCCAACAGCTGAAACAAAGTTTGTAGCAGAGCTTTAAGATCATAAAATCTCAGAAATGAAGTCAAGAATAATGACCCTCTTGAGGTTGCAAACTCAACTTTAACCAAGTGCATCTTCAGCCCACCTCGGCACGAAATGAAGTTTAGGATATTGACCCCTTCGGCTGGAAGCCTGGAAGCTAGCAAATGATTCTGCAACCCACTCAGAAGGTTGAGAGATGAACTGGCAACTTTCACCTTATGTTATGAATGGGGACCAACAAGCAAGACAAGATATAAAATGTCATGGCTATTTGCCTAGTTGGCTACAAATAACGGCCAAGAGAGCACGAGCAACAAGCAATACAAGATGATTCTGCAACTCACTCAGAAGGTTGAGAGATGAACTGGCAACTTTCACCTTATGTTATGAATGGGGACCAACAAGCAATACAAGATGTAAAACGTCATGGCTATTTGCCTAGTTGGCTACAAAGCACGGCTAAGAGAGCACGAGCAAAAATCTAACAATCCAAGCTGAACCCAAATGGAATCAGGTTGAATCTACAAAGCCTTAGCTCGTACAAAACATTTGCCATCACCAGCTTGAAGTGGCAAATGTTTTTCTAAATAGAAACACTGAGAATGATATCAAAATTCGAGACTATAGATCTTCCACTCTACTGCAACTGAATCCTATTAACTTTTTTACAAGCTCAACACCTAGGCGATAAGAAAGAGGGACTGGGAGGCTTGATCTATGCACAATGTCATTGTCAACTATATTTGCATGATTCGGATATAAATATGGAGGTTTCTATGTGTTCTGACTGAACTCATCATCAGCATCACTCCGGTGGCGATGTGCGTTCTCATGGGATTGGGCTACTGTTGCTCCATCTGTTGAGAGACAAGGAAACATCAATACTAGAAGAACTGGGAGCTGCATGTACTGATGCTACTGCATTAAACAGGTGGAAGTTGGCCTAACCTGTTCCCTTTATCTTCAAAAATACAGACGTGGCGTAGTCAATTTCTGCTTGGTGTGAGCTAATGAGTCTTGCCTGCAGTTTGACAAAACAAGCTGCGCCTGAATTTTGCATCTTCTAAATCTAATGTGTACAAAAGTAAGTAAATAAATAGTACATCTGAGTTTTAATATCTCAAACTCGGCGTGAACTCAGATGATTGGACAGATAGACGTTTGAATATGAAGATATAGCAATTAGCACATACCGCTTCCTTATAGGCAGAGTTCATAAGCAGATCTACTCTAGCTTGGTGCTTTAACAGGAATGGGCGCAAGTGGTTTCGGTAAAGTTGTTCTGCTCCCTGAAAAGGAGAAAAAGAAAATCCCACATCTGTCATACGCTATATTATGTCCAAAAGAATACATCAGCAAGCCATTTTATTTTATTATATAAACATAGTGGAATCACATTCATCCAACCTAAACTGTTCATTAACGATGAAAATTTCTGAACTTTTATCTCTCTCAAGACTAGATGACGATCTGATTTCGAATGAATAGCTTATGAAGACTATAGGAAGAATAGATTGAGTAGATTACATTGGCTGATGGAAGTTGGAGCCAAACGAGAAATGCAAACTTCATATGATAATACATGGGGACCCTGCACGACATGAAAACGAAAGGATCAATCAGATCAGAGATACAACAACGAAAACTATGATTCTATGAACCTCAATTACTAGAGAATTCAGACCAGTACCAGGAAAGCAACTTGTCCGCAAAAACTTCTGCAAGGCTGAACGATCCGTACGCTGTAATGCAAGCATGAGAAAAGAGTAGTCAAGGGAGATTCCAAAACACAACTCGTGAGGAACATCCGTAAACCCCCGAGATTTGAATTTCAAAGCAGCAAACCAAAACAGTCAAGGAAATATTTACCGAGACAACCTACTGCAACAAACAACGGAATGAAGATAAAACAAAGCTAACCTGTCCAGTATATCAGCCACTTCCTTTGCTGGGTTTCATCATTCGCTTCAAGAGCTTGGTATGTAGAGTAAACCGGCAAAACAATCCCAACAGAGCAACTGCAGAAATCACCAAGGCGCCTCCAGCAAGTTAATACTTCATTAACAAATATATAAAAAGATAGATTCTTTAGCGTAGAATTAAAGAACACAAGTAATCAACATCAGGGATTTCAGATAGAGAGCCCACAGCTGAAACTCACCATGCAGCTCGCGTTACAATGTTGGAACCAATTGGGGAAAGCAGCAAACGCAAGCCCACCTGCACCACAATCACAGAACACCATTGTCTCATTCCCAAGAGTATGTTTTCCCTCCACTAACCTAGAAGCTAAACGATAGCCTACCAGGAATTGAGCCCTACTAAAAATCGATCGACCTTAGGGATGCCGAATTCATCAAACCCTAACGTGATAACAAAGATGAAGGGGTGGAGAGGGATCGATGAGGGCTACCAACCTCACTCGTTATACTGGGCGCGAGAAGCGCCATTGCTGGTGATCACCGATGAGGTTTCCCGGCTTCAGATAGCAGCTGGCCTCGTAATCAGGCTTTAAGGCGAGCCTGGAATTTTGGATTGGTATTTTTTCTGGTTTCTCCTCATTCTCACCCTTTTTGTACGTTCTTCATAGAATTTAAGTTTTTTTTTTGTTGGTAAAATTCATAGAATTTAAGTTGAGATAGATAACCCTAACTAGTTTCTTTTCCAATTACCCAATCCCCAATGTTTGGCTCTAATTCTATAAAGTTTTGAGGAATTTATTTATTTAAAAGGGTTTGGATTAATATTATTTTCTACCTCTTTACTATTTCAAATTAACAAATGTACTCATCTGCAATGCATTAAAATAGAGATTTTAACTAAAATCGAAAAATGAGGTAAAATCGGAATCGTAGATTAAAATCGTAAAATCATAAGATTTTAAGGTTCATATTAAAATAAACACTTTAAACACCAGATACTAATAACAATCCATATCATGAATAACAGTCAACCACATATTACCTAATTACTTCTCAAGACAAGTTTGTCTGCTAAATAAACACAAATTAATCCATATATTTATTCTTGTACTTAACAAAAACACACAAATAAGCAACATGAAAACTCATAGGTAGTTAAGATTAGAAAATCACATAAGATCGTTAGGATCAACATTAGCATCAGTCACATATAATCATCCTCACCCTTACCCTCACTCCCATCCTCGCAGAATCCTTTTATAATTTTCTTGAGGAATTATATCATTATTCTTAGAATCACTTAATCACCATCATCTGGTAAAGGTAACTCACTGATCGATGCATTTCCCTACTTGATCGATAAAAGTCAGGGAATAAAGGTGTTGAAGGTTTGGTAGATGAACGAAAGCTTGCATTGTAATGGGTAGTGGGCTAATTTCGTGGTGCTGGGAACAAAATACGAGTTAATTGGGAGGGTGGAGGTATCATTGATGGAAGGAGTTGGGTGTCGACGTGCGAATGAGGAAGAGAACGAAAATCAATTGAGGGTCTTTTCTCATATTAGGGTTGTGTTGTTGATTATATTGGGAGAAGTGAACTTGACCCGGTTCATGGGTAAAATCCAACCTGATCGGCCTGATTTTGCTCCAATTGACATGAACGTTGAAATTGTACAAAATCCTAGAAATTGTTGATTTTAAGGATTTTAGAGTTTTAAATCGGGATTTTATAGAATTTTAAGATTGAAAGACTTTATAGAAATCATGATTGTAACCCATAGGTAAGATCGTAAGATTTTAGGATTAAAATCGAGATTTTGACTACATTGCTCATCTATTAAATTATTTTTTCCCGGTAATTCCTCTATTAAATTTTGGGTAAATACAATATATTAGCCATAACTATTAAGTAGCGGATAATTATAGCCACAACTATCGAAATACAAATTATTAGCCATAACTATAGTTGTGGGTCAAGATTTGGCTAACAGCCCATTATTGTTTTCAAATTTTTAACGTAGAAGGCCATGTCAGCATCGTAAAAAATATGATATGATGACTGCCACGTGGGAGCCAGCTCGGCATCGTAAAAGCTTAGTCATCATTACTAACAGAAGTGTTAACGAAAACTTAACGATTGGCTAATAATTTGTATTTCGATAGTTGTGGCTATAATTCCCCGCTGCTTAATAGTTATGGCTAATATATTGTATTTGCCCTTAAAATTTTCACAAACATACCCTTCTAATATTAAAACCAGTGTTGTGAAAACCGAGCCGAGCCGGCCGGTTGGACCGCCAAAACCGCCAACCGGGCTCAAAACCGGCTCGGATCAGCTATTTAGCCGGACTGGTTCTCTGGGGCTGCCGGCGAGCGGCTGAAGCGGTTAACCGTTCGAGCCGCTCGAGCCGATCGTCCGGTTTTTTACATTCGTCCGGTTGGTGTAATTAAAAAAAAAAAAAACTAAAAGACCGAAAAATTAAAGGGGATTCTGGGTCGGGGTCGGGCAGAACCCTAATTCCCAAATTTCTTTCCCCATCTTCTTCTTCGTGGAGAGCCTGCCCTGGAGACAAGGAGGTAAGCTTCGTTTCCATCTTCTTTTCCCCCAACTCCACGAAGCTAGCCCGCTGATGTATCTATATATTACCTAGCTACTTCATTGATGAGTTTCCCTCTGTCGATTCGTGCATCGAGTCGCTCAATTAGAGTGCAAACCTGTTTGGCTGCGGTTTCTGGAACTTCTCCCGTCGTGTTTGGTTTAATATTGTTTAGCTATTGCGAATGGAGGCTGCAACCGCGGCCGTTTTCGGCGTTCGTTTTGGTCTGTAATTCTGTATTGTCGCCGGGAAATGAGAGGATAAGGAGATGGAGCTAATTCACTGCGAAACGCCACAGTAGTGCTTAGGATTTAGGAATCTGGCGAATCGCTTGAAGATAGGTTTCGTGTTTTTTTTTTTTTTTTGGTTGCTCCTATTGAGAAATGAATCTGCCACTAAGAGAATGTTAGGTGTTGATTTGGCTCAACAGTTTGTCTAGTAGCCAGACGAAATAGAGGATAGTGAAATGGAATTAGTATCATTGTGGAGTTCCAATGGAATTATTACTTATTAGTGTTCAAATATAAGGTGAATCAAGTGAAATTATGCTGCTTGTGTTGTTGCAGGATGGTGAATGAATGGTGTTGAAGTCTAGTGATAGTGAATGAAATGATGTTGAATGTTCTAGAATTGTTTAAGAGAGTAATTTACTTGTGATTTACCATGATTAAGAAGTGTCCACTATTTATACAGATGACTGTTTATTAGGTACCGGTTCTCAAACGGTTTTTAAACGGTCTAATGCCGACTGGACCACTAAAGACCGAGCCGTTCACGTTTCCGGGTCGTACTCCGGTTCGGTTCTGTCAACATTGATTAAAACATAATGAATATATCATTCCATCTAATTATCTGTTAAATCATCGTTCAATGGGCTGAAAATTTACCTAATTGCCCTCATTAACTCCTATAACTCCTAATTTCTATTTTAATTATTTAATATTCCTAAAATTCAATTAATTAAAAATTAAACCTACGAAATACCTAGCAACCTTTCCGTCTTCCTCTCTGCTCCCCGTGGGTTCGAGTTTTGTTGCCATCCCTAACAGGTGTCATCCAGGAAGCGGCTTCTCGCTTCTCACGATGGGAGTCTTGGGAGCAGAAAGGGTTGGACTTGGGAGGGAGTCTGTTGCTTTTAATTTTAATTAATTAATTGGATTTGTGGACATAATAAAATAACAATTAGAACATATATTATGGGTGTTTAGGAGTTAATGACGGTAATTAGGTTATTTTTCAGTCCATTAAACCTTCATTTAACAAATAATTAGACGAAAGGGTATGTTTGTATAAAAATATAGTAGAGTGGTACGTTTGTTAATTTGCAATAGTAGAGGGGTATAAATAGCTATTAACCCAAAAATAAATTGTTATTTGTTTGGAAGATGGATCTTCAAATGGTTTACTAGTTTATTTTTTAACTTATTTTTTAGCCTTTGTCTTATTGGTTAGATAATAAGTTTGTCTTGCCACTTAACGTTTTTTAGAAAATGGATTTTCAATGAATATTGTTTCTATCGGAAATTAATAAGTGTGTAGTTGAAAACTTTAATTTAATTCAAATCTAAACGTATTGCAAATATTTTTTGGAAATTTAATTTAATTTATTTTCAACTATTTGAATATGACATACCAAACACAGAAATTTGTTTGACAATGAATACATAGTAATTAATTTTAAATTAAAATGAATTGTCCTTTCATTTGGTATCAAAGGATTTGTTAAGTTATTTTCGTGTTTGTGATTAACCAATAAGTTTTCTCATAAATTTATATGTTAGACTAAGCTAACAATAATAATAACATCATAATCATCATCATTCATCACTAAGACTCGAACATATAACTAGTGAGTCTCAAATTAATATCATGTAGAGTGTTAATCAATGAGGCAAACTTTATTTGATGCTATCAACCACAAAAATATTACTACTCATATCACAAAATGGGGTTAATAAATGAAACAAATCATAAAGCTGGTTCTAGAGTCAGGGGAGGAAATTCAAGACATTGAAAGAATTGCATAAGAGGCTGTTAGATTCTATCAGAATCTCTTTGAAACAAAAAATGAAGAGGTAACACCTGATAAAGAACTATTAGAGTCTCTATTTGATAAAAGATTGGAGGCTATTGTTGGGGATCAACAGTGTGCAGCAGTGTCTAATGCTGAGGTCAAAGAGACAATATTGGACATGGAACCAGGCAAAGCCCCTGGTCAAGATGGGTGGACAGTCAATTTCTTTCAAACCATTGGGGTGTGGTGGGGAAGGAAGTTATTGAGGTTGTTCAAGACTTCTTCAATCACAACATACTACCAAAAAGTATCAATGCTACCTTTATCACCTTATGCCCTACACTCCTCTTGCATCTAGAATGACTGAATTTAAGCCTATAGCATTGCATAAATGTAATATACAAGATTATAGCAAAAGTCCTACCTTAAAGGCTACAAGAAGTTCTTCATGTATTGATTAGAAGAAACCAATCAGCATCCATAAAGGATCGTAGCATTGTTGGTATCCTAATGGCCCAGGAGATATTTTTAAAAAAAACGGTAGGAAGCAAATTACCCCCAGATGCACAACCAAGGTCTATCTAATGTTTGACTCAGTACACTGGGAGTTCTTATCTTCACTATTGAAGAAAGAAGATGAACTTCCCTCCCCAATTCATAAACTGGATTAGTCTTCATACTGCTAGTTTTAGCATTTATATCCATGGGAGTCTTTTTGGGTTTTTCTCTACACAGAAAGGGCTCAGACAAGGTGACCCACTTTCTCCCTATCTTTTCACAATCTTCATGAAAGCTTTGTCTGCGCTTCTTGATAAAGCAACTCTAGAAAAACAATTTTCCTACTGACTTCAATGAAAAGTCGTGGGTTTAACTCACATATGCTTTGCTGATGACTTATTAATACTCATTGGAGGACTACAAATGCTTTTAAAGGTGTTAGGAAGGTTTTAGATACATTTTACTAGATTTCGGCTTCAATGTAACCCCTTGAAGAGTAAAGTGTTCTGTAGGGTTGGATGACAATGAAAAGTGATTGGCACTATCAAAATTTGGATTTAAAGAAGTCCAGCTGCCTATTAGATACCTAGGCCTGCCACTCCACTCTGGTGCTTTATAAGTAGCTCATTGTAATGTGTTGATTGACAAGCTAACTAGCAGGATAAGGACCTCGAGGGCTTCTAAACTTTCTTATCCAAACCTGTTGCAGTTAGTTGCCTCAGTACTATATGCAATTACTCAGTATTGGATGACAAAATATATGTTCTGACATGAAGAAGGGAATGGGAGAGCTAAGGTCGGCTAGGAGATCATAGCACTTCGTAAGGATGAGGGGGGTTGGAATGAGGAACTTGCACACATGGAACATAGCATGTGCTGCTAGGAAGCTATGGCTGCTCCTAATGTAGGGAGGATCTTTCTGGGTTGATTGGATCTCAAGATACAGGTTGAAAGGGAGGGCTGTCTGGGAAATCTCTGAAATGATGGTGGGCTCTTGGCTTTGGAGGAAGCTACTAAAGCTAAGCTCATGGTTCCAATTCAGATTAATAAGGGAAGAGACAAATATTGTAAGTCGAGAAGGAAAAATACTACCAAAATTCTCTGTCAAAGTAATTTGGAAATCCATCATACCTAAGCAAAGCAAAGTGATATGGTACAAATAACTATGGGGAAATATATGATTCCAAGTCATAGATTCATTGCTTGGATGGTACTTAAAAACATAATCAAGACTAGTTGATAGTGTTAACTATCTGATGTGTACTGAGTGGACGAAACAAGGAAACACCTTTTATATTCCTGCTCCTTTTTAATGGAGATTATGTTTGCAGTATTCCCACAAATTGTCTGGTCAAGAGATTAGCATGGTATGGTAGGGGAACTATGTAGAAAGGTAAGACAGACTGACATGGTTATAGGTGTTTTATGGTGTTAGGTGCATATCATTACTATGGAGGGAACGAAGTAGTAGAAGCTTCACAAGTGTTTGCAGGAGTAGCTTGGACATCATTATATAGCTGAAGCAAGAGGTTCATAGTTATATTGTTGACAACCCTGAGTTTGCCTTAGTCTTTGCAAGATCTGTATATGTTTAGCATTTTACAATGGTTGTAGTTAGTTAGCTTCAATGTTATAGCTAGTGGATTGTAGATAAGAGGTAGAGGATGTTGTATGCTTTGCTTTGTTGTGTTTTGTATTGTTGTTGCTACAGATGGTTTTTGAAGAGCTTGGTGGTTTACCAAGCATGAGAAATAAAATTGAAACAACAATTACCTGAAAAAAATTGTATACAAATATAGGTCGCTCTGCCTTGACCTGCGCCCTATGATAGATGATGACAATGGGGCGAGACAGGTCCCTCAATTCCCATACTTTCCCCGCGCTAAGAGTGGGCCAAGTCGGTATTACCGGCTGAGGGTACAGACGGGGAAATTTGATACATTCTTATAAGTAATTTTAATAAGAACGTCGATATTTAACTCTTTTACAAAAACAAGTAGAGAAAACACTTCATAAAGTTTTTTTAAAAAATCAAATCATTTTTTTCCAGAAATGTAGTCTTTACTCGTGCCTAACTACACCCATCCCAATCAAAGGCCAAGTGGAACCTTCAACCGGGTGTAGTATAGAGCAAATATTTCGAAATATCAACCCGAACAGTCTATCCATCCTTACATCAATGAACTATATGTTATCTAGCAATCAATTATTGGTTTAACTACTAAACTAAACAAGCATGCAAGCAAATTGAGATTGAATTCAATTGAGGAAACTGCACTCGAATGTGTTACCTCCTAGTCTATGTTGATTTGACGTTGTGGCCCCCTAGAATGATTCACACTTAGCATATACCATAAGGAGCTCTAATCTAAGGAGATATTCTCTCACCTAGGTTAATTAGCCACAAATTGAGAAAAGTGATCAAGGACCTTCAATTTTCATGAATAATGCTCAAATCAATATACAATAAACAAGAAAATCAGTGCATATGGTTCACAATCAATTTTCATGGATAATGCTCCATTGACGATGCTAGACAAATTTAACGACAAAGATAAAGGGGTATAAGTGTGTATAAATGGGCTCAAATCAAGTCTTCCATGAGACTATATTTCCCTTTCACCATTCCTCTTCACACAGTCTTGCACTAATACCAACCTTATCAAACCCCATTGGCCCTATTTTTCCATCTCTTCCTATTTATTCATGTCCTTCCTTCTATCCATATCTTCTACACATAATGCACAACCTTCCACCTTCATTTCCCATCATCATCCTCTACTCTTCTCACCCTTGTAGTTCTTCTCCTCTTACATTGTGTGAGCCAGACAATGAGGAAACATGCATTCCAAGGGGAGGGGGGATGAGTTGGTTGCCGAGGAAGATATAGAAGGACATGAACTTTTGAGGAAGTCAGATAGAGCAAGAATTGTATTAGTATGGCATAAGAATTAGAAGTTTGGAGCTGTTAGTAAATCTAAACTACTTATAATACATTTTAAAGAGTTTGATTTGCTCCATTTCAAATTTCATGCAACGAGAGTGAAAGTAGGAAGGGTATTTTCCATGAGACTATATTTCCCTTTCACCATTCCTCTTCACACAGTCTTGCACTAATACCAACCTTATCAAACCCCATTGGCCCTA